ATCGCCTTGCCTTCACCCCACTGAACTGTACCTTGCTCCCTAGAGCTCTCGAAACACCTCAGTGCAGAATGTTTTGCGTTACTGTTTCTTTCTTCTCTTCTTTCCTTTTTGTTGCTTTTCGTGGCCCCTTTCTCGCTGATCCAGTGCCTGCACACTACCAGTGCCTGCACTACGACATTATTTCATTCGCTAATTACCGCTACCCGTCGTCTCACGTGGCTTCAGAATATGCTACGAGAAATAGGAGAGTCTCCAGCAAGCAGTGCATCCATCTTCAGGAAGTGGAAAGAGCAAACGGCATGGTCCTTGGTTGAGGTAAAATGCTGAACGTTTGATTTGTCCCAACCAAGATTTCAGCACTTGGTTCGTCACGATTTTCGCTTGCCAGCTAACGTCTCCGCAATCCAGCTTTCCCCTGTCGGTGTCACGTCCCAGTACACAACGGAGAGGACTACTAATAAACAGTTCACGGCACTAACAGCATTGAACGCAGCACTTCTCTGTCCCTGCGGGAATTTGCGGAAAAAACTCTCGAAAACTTGCGCAAGAAATTGCGGCAGAAAACGACAAAAAATGTGACGAAAAGTGCGGAATGATGCAGAACTTGCCAGGAATTATTATTATTATTATTATTTTAACTGGTTTGCAATTTTTTGGTTTGAGGGATTTACTATTATTATTATTATTATTTTTTATTATTTTGTTAGGGATTTCCCAACAGGCAATGTTGCCTTTTTACTGGGAACCCTTAGGCCTCGGTCACACTACGGCAAGTTTGAAGCTGGACGCAGCGTCAAGTCGCAGCACTCGACGCAGACGCGGGGTCACACAGTGTTTTGTTTTTCTTTCAGCTCATGACTGCCGCGGCCTGGCGCATTTGTCTACGTCACAAAATCACCAGGGAAACTCAATGACGACACGGATCCCCACGGAAACCGGCCTTTTGCTTATTATACAAAAAAATTGTCGGACAAAGTTTTCAAATTTTTCATTGATTTTTGATTACAAGAAGACGAAAGGTCCACGCGTGCACGATCGTTGTTGTTTCTTTCCGAATTTGAAGCCATTTTCAGTTGTAGTGTCATGGATCAGGCAAGAAAAGTCCGCATCGCAGCTGTGTTTCTCCTGACTTCGTCATACTGGTTGTCCTTTTTGGGGCTCTTGACGACAACACTCACAAGTCAACAGGCTCCAGTTGGCCGATGACCCACTCAAACAACTGGTCCTTTCTCGACTTTATTTTTTTCTCAGAAAACGCCTCGCTCTTCCGCCAGGTTCGGAGCAGAGCAGCATCGGCCTCGTAGGTCCACGGACTCATCTTGAAAAAAAGAGGAAACAAAACAAACCTTGAAGAGACGAATGTCGAATGACTGCTCAACTCGAGCAACTGTCTTGAAACCAGGGAGTCGTGTAGACTCCCTGCTTGAAACTAATTTTACCTGAAAGACACTGTTTTTCCGCCAAGCGTCACTCCCATCAGCGGCAACGCAGCCGATTTCCCCACGTCAGACGCAGCAGCGTCTGACGTGGGGCGTCTGACGTTCAAACTTGCCGCGTTTGCGTCAGTTGCCATGGAAAAGCTCATGATTCTGACGCTGACGCAGCATTTTTGCCGTAGTGTGACCGAGGCCTTAATGAGACTTTGTGTGAGCGCGAAACAAAGCAGGCGAGGAAGTATTTGCAGAAAATTGCGGATTTGGGCCAAAATCACGAAATTTGTTGCTTCGTATATCTACTCGGGATTAGTACGAGTCGTGCTGTGCAAATAACCTACAGGGTCATGGAAAGCACTGTGTGAAAAGTGTATAGAAATGTGAGATATACATTGTAGTGCAGAAAACAACATAAAAACGCGGGAAATCGCGGATTTTGCTGAAAATCGCGGGTTTGGGCCAAAATCGCGAAATTTGTTGCATCCGTGGAATCGCGATTTCCTGGAGGAACAGACTTCTTTCACTTCGTGAATACAATAAGACAACTGAAAATGACACAATTCTGCCGTGATCGACCTTCTCTCTCACGGAGCTAAGCAGAATGTGCGTCATCAGCTGTAGTTGCCATGGAAACGCAATCGGCGATTTGGCAAGTTTGCAATATCGTACCGAGGTAGGCCTGGGCGGATAATGCTAGCATTATAAGTAGCATTATAGTGTGCGATTTGCAACGAGCATTATGCTAGCATTATAACACTACATTTCCGCAAAAGTGGCATTATACTCGAGTCAAATGGCCCTTTCTTCTGCGAAAACCAAGCTTAGGCCGAGTAAAAAAATTACTAGATGATCGTCCTTTTTTTTGGAAAAATCGGGGAGGGCGGGAGGATTTTATTTTTATTTTTTTACTTTTTACCCTCTCATGCACACAGTGTACACAACAACATCAAGGTTTTTTTTCTCTTTTTTTCTTTTTTTTTCTTTTTTTCTTTTTCTTTCTTCAGCAGATCGATACTGACGTTGTGATATACTAGTAGTATGTGGTCCATATAGTAAAGAAAGTATTAAACAAAGCGTGCACATGTTTCCTGCATCCGCGATCGGTAAAAAACCAACGATTTCGGCAAAAACTCACGATTTAAAAAATAAAATATTTCTTGGGGCGCTGACAAAAACTGGGGCGGACGGGGACGATCATCTAGCTTTTTTTTTTACTTGGCCTTAGGGTGAAAATCATTTTTTTTGAGAAAAATGATGTTTTGTAAAAAGGTTGTGTCGCGTGGATGGACGCTCGAGTGCAGTGAAGTGGAACCAAAGCGCTTGTTTGAAGAAGTAGCAGTCATGGCAGGAAGGGTTTCAGCAGTCAGGGAAGTCAAAGGGCTTCCGGTAGAATATTCCAGTACTCCTCTAGTCACAACGAAGAGTTTTTGAGCTGATCGAACGGATTCCATCTCCTACACTCAGGGATGGCGAAATTTCTGCGCTAGCTGCTGCTTGCGGAAAATGGTGAAGAAATCGTCTCCAGTTAGAGTCGTGATGGCGATAGCAAGGAGAACCAGGACGACATCGATCCAGCCAATCGAAGTACGGAGATACTAGCTGTTTCTGGGCCTCACACAACGGGAACACGCGCAGCAGAGCTCATACGTTTGCAGCAAGTTCACCAGGAAAAAGGCTTGAAGCGCAGTGTGAAAACTGTTTTGAATTGAAGTCCTTGGCGATGAAGTCTACTGAATGCCAGGCGAATGAGCGAGCAGAACGAGAGGCCTCCACTCGAGACTTTCCTCGCTGAACAGCTAGCTGCAAGGGATTGTATGGAGCAATAGCAGCATAAAATTAGCATTATGATCATGATTTTCTAGCATTTTCCATGCCGTCTACGCAGAACTACGAAACGTGCACAATACTGCCCAAACCAAGCCGTTTTTGCATACTTACTACTGGTGAATTGCTGGCATTACAGAGGAACAGCAGCATGACAAGTAGCATTATGATACAGTTTTTCTGGCATTGCCATTAGCATTATCCTGCAAAATAACTAGCATTATCCGCCCAGGCCTATACCGAGGCGAGAGATATACCATCGGAACCGATATCAAATTGTCTTTCATCTGAGCCCTACTTGAAAAATCGATGCACTTCCCCTTTAAGGTGGCAGCCTGGTCGTAAAATAACTGAAAAATCGAATTTGTAAATTCATATCGAGTGCTACATCAGTTGAAAGAGCATGAACAGCGGCAAAATCTCTGAAAATTTGGTCTCGATCGGACCAACCGTTCAAGAGTTACGGCCGAAAATGTGCCCTTGCAAGGAAAGATTTTTTTGTTGCACGCTGTCATTTGTTGGCAGCACTAGCACTGTATTTGAATGTGAGCAGACCGTGCGCAACTTGTCGTATCATGGAAACACGCGAAAGTGTGCAGAATTTTGCTTCAAGTCCAAAAAATCACGTTTTTTAGCCACGTATTGGGCTGCACGGCGGCGGGCTTTGCCCGCCGCCGTGCAGCAGGAGTTTTGCCAGCACCTTCGTGACGTTGCAGATATGTGGCTTGATTATTGTAGTTGACGTTGATTGAGTGACTTTGGCAAATTTGAGTCGTGTCAAGAAGTCAGGTAGGATTCAGTACTAGGCAGTAGTGGAACGAGAGTGGTAGTCTTTGCCGATTTTGGAAGGTATCCTGGATTCGGTTTGAAGCGCTGTGGAAATGGCTTGCTGTGGAGGTCCCAGCACTGGATGTTGTATCAAAGGTACGGCCTCGTAGCACGCCGGAAAAAATTCAAAAACTGACTTAGGTCTGTGGGAGTCTGTGACAGAACGCCCCCTCCTGCCGTTGTGACAGATTCCAGGGCCACGTTGAAGGGCCCTATCCCACCACCCATGGCTGCTTCTGGACGTTTTTTAGGTTTGGATCCTGCGCACGGACAGAATTGGCTAGAAAATGTGAAAAATTGTAAATGTATTTGTTTGGCTCCTGGGTGGCTCGCCAACCGTGGCACTATGCCGGAATTTTGAGCTTTTCCTGCCTGTAAAGCCTGTCAGTGAGGCGCAAGAACTTTTAAATCATGTCCAGAGGGCCAGCATAGTGGCACTAGAGTGTGTGGTGCAAATTTCACTCAAATCCATTGAGAGACACCAAAGTTACGGTCAATTGAATGCCATATGAAATTTAGGACCAGGCTGCTACCTGAAGCCGGCTGTTTGCTTGCAGTCCCTCTTTCCCATCTGTACGTCTACCCGAACTACTCGCGGCTCAACAACTCATAACATGAGTATCAATCGCTATAGAACTGCACATCCAGACGACACACGGCTTGCCACAGTGAGTCGAGTACATCGTATGCAAATGGCGTGCAGCTTCCAGGTCCGGCACGATGGAATTTTCGGAAGGAACTACAATTGTAATTTTTGAACTGTTTGGAGAAGAAGATTGCTCTCAGAACAGCTAACTGGTTTCTTTCGTTTGAAAAGCTGTTCACGGAGTAGTATACAATACTATACATACAGCGTTTCGAAGCTGCTCCAAAATCGATCGATTTGTTTTGAATGGTTTCGTGATAGTTTCACGATCAATCGATCCCTGCGCGATCTGTCGATCGATAGATCGCGCGAGAAAAGCGATCGATTTTCCAGATTTCGATCTCTCGATCTCCATCTCTTGATCTCCATCTCTCTATCTCGAACTCTCGATCTCTCCACCTCGGTCTCTCGGGCTCGGTCTCTCGGGCTCGGTCTCTCAATCTCGATGTCTCGATCTCAATCTCGATGTCTCGATCTCGATCTCGTTCTCGAGCTCTCGATCTTCTCTCGATCTCGATCTTCTCTCCATCTCGACCTTCTCTCCATCTCGATCTTCTTCCGATCTCGACCTTCTCGCCATCTCGATCTTCTCTCGATCTCGATGTCCATCTCTCGAGCTCGATCCCTCGAGCTCGATCTTTTTTTTTTTTTTTTTTTTTTTTTTTTTTTTTTTTTTTCTGAATACCACAGTACCATCAGATGCTGCACAGCCGGGGCGGTGGCATATTGGATGGAAGTGGGGGCGGGGCAAAAGTAACTCCTCCGACCAAAGGTCTCGGAATCATTGTTACTCCTGTGCGCCGATACATAGGAGAAAAGAAACATGTGCATCCAAGAGGGGAGCACTGGCTTTGCAAACGATAATGGGGAGAATTTGAGATGGGGATAGGACAAAACAATAGTAAAAGCAGTGCACCGTAGGAAGATGGAGTGAACTGATAATCGGGTTTTAAGGCTGAGCGAAGGGGATCAAAGAGGGGTAGAAGGGAGCTGGAGTGCGGTCAGTATAATTAGGCTGGTGTGTTGGCAGAGATCATAGCCTGTCTGTGGCCCACTCCCACTTGCTGCGCCGCAAGTGGTCATTGACGTTTTTCTTGAACGTGTGCATGCCTCTGCGAGAAGGGGGAGATCTCCATCTCTCCATCTCGGTCTCTCGAGCTCGATCTCGATCTCTCCATCTCTCGATTTCTCGATCTCGATCTCTACATCTCGGTCTCGATGTCTCGATTTCGATCTCGCTCTCTCGATCTCGATCACTCGATCTCTCGATCTCGTTCTCTCGATCCCGAACTTCTCTCGATCTCGATCTTCTCTCGATCTCGATCTTCTCCCGGTCTCGATCTTCTCTCCATCTCGATCTTCTCTCCATCTCGATCTCGATCTCGAGGTGTCGATCTCTCGATCTCGATGTCTCGATTTCGATCTCGCTCTCTCGATCTCTCGATCCCGAACTAACGTTACTTCTCTCGATCTCGATCTTCTCTCGATCTCGATCTTCTCCCGATCTCGGTCTTCTCTCCATCTCGACCTTCTCTCCATCTCGACCTCTCGATCTACCGATCTCCATCTCTTGATCTCTCGAGCTCGGTTTCTCGAGCTCGATCTCTCGATCTCCATCTCTTTCTCTCGAGCTCGATCTCGATCCCGAACTTCTCTCGATCTCGACCTTCTCTCGATCTCGATCTTCTCTCGATCTCGATCTTCTCTCGATCTCGATCTTTTCCCGATCTCGATCTCGATCTTCTCTCGATCTCGATCTTCTCTCGATCTCGATCTTCTCTCGATCTCGATCTTCTCTCGATCTCGATCTTCTCTCGATCTTTTCCCGATCTCGATCTTCTCTCTATCTCGATCTTCTCTCTATCTCGATCTTCTCTCTATCTCGATCTTCTCTCTATCTCGATCTTCTCTCGATCTCTCGTTCTGACATGTCACATGACAATCGACATGGCAACAGCGAATCCTAGCGCGACTTGCCGTGCTTTGAATCAGCCACTGAAGACCTGTGAGCGCTTGCAGGTCTCCGATTTTCCAATCGGAGCACGCCCAGGCGTGCTCCGATTGAATCGGAGCACACCTAGGCGTGCTCCGATTCAGCCATCAGAGGCCGCTTTTTTTTTTTTTTTTTTTTTTTTTTACCAATGCTGCTACCCGTGCTCTTACACTTACAGCGCCAACAACGAGCGTTCAGCGATCACAGCAGCAGACTGAGTTCCACGATCCCGACATTGATGAGTACATCGCAACTTGTGACCCAACAGTGCAATCCCCAACTCACCAACGGTCTCTGATGCAGAAAGCTACGAAGACCATCAACTTTTCCGGAGCTCAGTTTGGTGCAAACTGCAATGTTCACCTGCACCTGTAGGCTGTAGGCTGTAGTCACTGCGAAGAAGAGAAGCTGAACTGACCTGGTTTTTAGCTGACTAGACCGCCCTTGTTTTATCTCTGTGTTGTGACTGTGTACATTAGTCATTATGTAACATGTCTGAAGTACTAAACTGGCGACTAGTTGTGTTCCTTGTCTGGTCTAGTGTGCGTGCCTTGAGTAGGTACTAGGTATGTGTGAAGTACTACATGTAGTAGTACTAGTAGTACGAAGTAGTTCGTGCAATGCATGTCAGAAATGGTATCAAAGCATTCGTACTCGGACTCAAGTGCTAGAATCGGAGCCCTCCGCGCTAGCGCGCGTCGGGCTCCGATTCCGCACTTTCGTCCTCGTACTCATGCTCGATTCCATACATCACTCGACCACTCGCCTTACCACACATGTACAACCATCATCGGTTGGCAGAGCGCCGGTCATGCGACCGTTTGAACCGACACCCGGTAGAGGAGACGGCTCGATACCGGAACGTTTTGACAGCCAAATTATTAATTTAATTTGTATAGACCCAAAACGATCATCAACGTTGATTTTTCACTCGAAATATGTTTGTGGAAGGAAACTGGCATGTTGAAGTTTGCTCTGGGGCCAGAGTCAATCGAACTGAGCCACTCCTTTGTGTTGACCCATTGCCTCCAAGTTGCCCAATTTTTCGCTTCAAAAAAGTTCAAATCAGAGGTGGCTCCAAACCGGACACGTTTTAGAGTGCCCGTCAAATTCACTCTGGGTCTGAAATTAGGTAATTGCTATCGCTCCACGACGGCCAGTACAGAGTAACAATAAGCCTTGTGTGTGCTTCCATTAGTTTTGATTGGTATGCGGTGCTTTATTGTCGAGAGGCGAGCCGCTGTTTACCTGCGACAAGAAGTTGATTTTTCGAAAGTCGTAAAACTCAAGTCGCAGTGCGAAGCAACACGTCAAAAACTCACCTGCTTGATATGGCGCTTCTGGTCATCGCAGAGCCATGAAATTTTGGCTCGGAGTATAACACATCGTAGTCTCACTGTGACATATGTTTTCTAATCAAAATACCAAGAGAGAAAGTGAATATTGAGTCCGTTCCGGTTTGCAACCTATTTCCTATTTGAAACCGTCGCCTCTACCCCTAATCACTGCCGACTACATGACATTGTACTACATTGTAGTAGATCTACCAAGTGCAAGTGCAAGTGCAAGTAGGTCAAAACATTCAGACTAAGGCTGCGTTTACACGACAACGCACGGCCAGTTTTCCGTTTTCAGTCCCGCATTTCTTTTTTCGTTTTCGTGCGTTTACACGATCAAAGCTGATCCGAAGTGGTCTCGGTTTGTATCGTTTTCGTGCGTCTACACGGGAGCAAAGGATCTGCCAAAGTTCGTCATGTACCAAGTGTTGTCGTGGAAGCACCAATCACACTCAAGGAATAGTTGAAAACAGGCCACACGACAACACTCGTCACAATCATGTCGAAAATTGTAAAAGCAATTTTTTGGATTGCCGGATCCATGTGAACGGCCGAAAACGGAACAAACGTGACGGAAAACGAGGCCAGCATACCGTTTCGACTGTTTACACACCCAAATTTATCCGGCAGAACATTTCCGTTTTCAAATTCTTCCACCTTGGCCAGCGTTTTGGTTTTCTTCCGTTTTGGTGTACAACTTTTACGTTTTGCTCCGCGTACCGTGAAATGAACCATGCATCCGAAATAATTTTGTTGCGTTTTCACCCCCAGCGTTGTCGTGTAAGGGCCGATTCCCACTACGCTACCGTGAGTACCCATGGTGATTTGTTCACGTGAGGGGCAGTTTTGGCGCGAGTTCATTCCGTGGCTCCTGCCGTACCGCGCTGTGGACATTCCGGTGCCGAGGGCCTCTGGGGGGGTGGAAATGGCATGCCGTGGTATTCCGCGAGGTCGAATGCAGTGAGTAGTAGGTATTTTACTTACTCCCTGAAAGGAAGTTTTTTCTTTCTTTTGTATTTGTGGCACGAAGTTTTTTCTTGGCTTTTGGCTTTTCGATTGGTTGATTCTTGAGCTTTCTCCAGTCATCTCCCCGGCCCCCGCTATTTTCCCTCAGGACCAAAGTCAGAAATTGATAAAAAAAAAATGGTGATCCGGCCTGCCGACGGAATGCACGGAATGACTGTGCGCAGGTGTAAATCACTCTCAGCTTCAAGCTCGTACCGTGGGGTACACGTGACCTACCCAAATCGACGGCACGGCACTCACGGTACCGTAGTGGGAATCGGCCCTAAACGCAGCCTAAAGTCATTCAGAAAAAGATGGACTTCTAGCTTTTGGCCATAAATAGGTCCGCATCTGGCCCATAGAAAAGAGATCACAGCTGCATACTCTTGTTTATGGACTCTTGACTGTAGTATAATTATGCTGATTGAGCCAACCACAAAACCAGCAAAGATAGGATCACTCATTCCAAGAAAAACAGATAAAAAATCGCACAAAAAGAAATGTTGATAACAACACTTGCTGTCCAAATTTTAACTAAAAAAGATGTGAAAACGGCCATGGCGTATCAAGAACAGAGGCAATAAAGGCAGCAGCTATACAATAACATTTCAAAGCATAAGCAACAAACAGCTTGGGAAAAACCAGAGAGCGAGAGAGAGAGAGAGAGCGAGAGAGAGGGAGCGAGAGAGAGTCATGAATAAAGTGAGTACTTGTACTAGCAAAAACAGCATTATATACAAAAGCAGAGGATTTTTGATATTGATGGCACAGCACTCGTTCCTAGTGATGCCACCACATGGGCTACCTAACATAGGCGAATGGTTTCACCAGTGCGGATCAAAAAGTCGTCATCTTGCAGGTCTCGCAATGCTGCCTCGAACTGGGCAGGGAAAACCGGCTGTAATAGGGCAAAAACAGAAAGGTGCAGACCATGTTTAAGTTAACCCTTAGCTGTGATCAAAGATTCAAAAAAATCCGAGGTGCGGCTCATACTCCGAATGTCAACAAAGAAAATTTTGGGCCCAAGGGGCGGGGGAGTGCGGCTTAGACACGGTGCAGTTAACCCTTTACCAGCCGCAGGATTTATACGTAAAAAAACGGGGTCCACTAGATTGAGAATAGAGACTAAACGGTAAATAATTTGTATTGACACCTTTATAGTTCTGGAAAGGTGGTAGAATTACCTTTCATATGAGACTAAAACCAAGCTGATAACATGTAGAATCGTTGCCATTCATGGCGCACAATAACTCTAGCAATGCGGCCGAATTAGCAAATTCGAGGACCATGACAATATGACTTGTACACTGTTCAGCTTCAGCTCATGCACCAGTTCATCTGTCAAGATTCAAACACCAGCAGAACCAGGCTGCTCTAGCGCTCATTTTTGGTGCGTGTCACGCATGGGCAATGCGGCCGAATTAGCAAATTCGAGGACCATGACAATATGACTTGTACACTGTTCAGCTTCAGCTCATGCACCAGTTCATCTGTCAAGATTCAAACACCAGCAGAACCAGGCTGCTCTAGCGCTCATTTTTGGTGCGTGTCACGCATGGGTGTGCACTGGGGAAATCGCAAACACATACTTCAGCATGAAGTGGGTCACAGCCACACGCTTGAAATTTCAACTCCACCCGTTTGCTGGACTTCGAGCTTCGGCGCTTGAGTGTTTTACTTCGTGCTATATCGAATGATACATCGTTGGAAAGCTGCGTTAATAGCTTTCCAATGAGCCTTCATATGTTGAATTAGAAGTAGGCAGACCGAAGTTATAGCTGTTTGTACAGTGCTCTATGCTCGTTTGTACACTGCTCTATGCTCGTTTGTACAGTGCTCTATGCTCGTTTGTACACTGCTCTATGCTCGTTTGTACAGTGCTCTATGCTCGTTTGTACACTGCTCTATGCTCGTTTGTACAGTGCTCTATGCTCGTTTGTACACTGCTCTATGCTCGTTTGTACAGTGCTCTATGCTCGTTTGTACAGTGCTCAGCATGCTCTACGTTTAGCATGAAATGTGTCACAGTCACATGCTTGAAATTTCAACTCCACCCGTTCCAGCCGTTTCCTGGACTTCGAGCTTCGGCGTTTGAGTTGAGGACCCTCGGTCATTCGCAACGCTGTCACCTCCAAACCAACTAGTCGCAAGCCCGCGCTGGGCACAACAGTACGAAGTAGTGGTTGCGACTTCGGCGGTGATTTGTAAGAAAGGGTTTGCTCCCCACACCGGAGCTCGCGCTATTCCGCCGACTTTACTTGACACTTGACGTCTGTCTCACCGTCCAGGAGCAACACTGACTCACGCTGCTATCTGGTGTTCACGAGGTGTTTGTCGCGCTGGAAACGGAGCGTCTCTGTAAGTTTGTATCCCTGGTGATGTTTGTGCCTGGAGAGCACTATATAAGTGGTGCTCTTCAGGCACAATCTTCCCCAGCCTACTCAAGCTCAACTGATGAGGGGTGAATTCCCCGAAACACTATGTATTGAGCAGGGAGTGGTGCTTTCTTGCAGGTTTGCCGAGTCGAAGGTTCGATGGACTTCTGGTGTGCTCTGGATGGCAGTCGTGAGTCAGTCAAGTGTCAAGTAAAGTCGGCGGAATAGCGCGAGCTCCGGTGTGGGGAGCAAACCCTTTCTTACAAATAATAATAATAATAACTTTATTAGGATGACCCAAAGGCTGACCGCCTATCGTGGGGTCCGTCGCATTGAAGGATGATGGTACAAGAGAGTACAGATTGGGAAGGGGGGGGGGGGGGATAAAACAAGGTCCAATAAAATCTCAAATCCTATATATAGGATTCGAAAAATAGGGCACAGGCCTTAGTAATACAGTCTGTATCGGCTATAGAGTGACCGGATATAAGAATATATCGGCTACAGTGATATTGGTCCGAAATATCAAAAGCAAAACGTATTTTATCCAGTACAAATATCACTATAACCAATATTATCGGATGTAATGATATATGTATAGGATATTGACCAAGACGAGGTCTATATGGGAAATATGGCCCAAGTAAAAGACCGAGGTCCGCCAAGGTCTTTTACGAGGCCTATATTTCCCATATCGACCGAAGTCGAGGTCAATATCCTATTTATCACGATTCCTTTGCCATAACCCCAAAATTTGAACCTTTAGGAGCTATTTTAACCTTTTTAGTATAGTATTCAGGGATCGATTTACTTTGATTTTTTTGCATAGCAGTCACTGCTACACAGTTTTACAATTGACTAGCAACTCCCAGTATTGATTAGCAGTTTTCCTTCATCAAAAGTTTACATGTATAGCTGTACAATAGCAGGATTTCGTAAAGAAGAGGACAATAGCTGCAGTTGCTATTTGCTTTTCCAAGCGAATGTTCAACCTGAATATTTACGTTAGAGTTTTCGCTTGGGCACGTTACTTGTTCAGCGTCCATCCGTCTTCGAGTTCTTCACAACACAATGTCTTTCAACAGGGCAGTTCCACTGATTCCTTCGACAAAGAAACCTCAGGAAAGCGCTCAAACGATCGGGACATTTCGTGCAAAGCGCATCGAATTTCGCTTTTCTCCTTTTCTTCATCGAAACGAATCGACATTCCTGGCGCGTCCAGTTCTTTGTCCCTCTTCTGGGCAGTGAATCACTGATCAGATTCACTGACATGTTGGCTACATGAGACTAAGAACCATCTACTTCAACTGTGCCTTGTCGAACAGAAACAAACTGAGCTTGACAGTGAAAGAAGAACATCAGGAAAAGTCACCGCCGTGTACAAAACTTCAGAAGACTGCAGTCATGTACGACCAGTGCTAGTGCAGTGTCCAAAATCGAAAGAGCGCGATCCGCGAGTCCGCGACCCGCGCGGACTGAGCAGGACAGGCCAGTTGGTTGGAGTAGTAAAATACTACTCCCTAGTCAGCAGTGTGTACATTAGTCGCATGTAGACTGCACACAACTGGTCTTTGTAGTGCATCGCAGTTTTGGGCGATAAAAAACGAAAAGCGAATCGCAGCCAGTGAATTTTGATTCGCAAACTGCGATGCGAACCCGGATAAATCGATCCCTGGTATTTGTACTATAGTGTACATAGGATGTTGCCTATTTTGGGTACAAGACTGTAAGAACAACAGAGTTCAGCATCTGCAGCACAGTGGCTGGGTGGTATAAGGGGTTGCTTGAGATTCATACTGTTGTGGGTTCGAATCCTGCTTGTTCTCTTCCTTTGTCTTCTTTCTTTCAATTTTTTCTTTTTGAAGTGGAGAGAAAAATTCTAAGCAAAGTCGAAAGATTACAATGCCTAAGTGGTCGATACAAGCGGTCGATATAAGCGGTCGATATTGCGGCGATATGGGTAATATAGGACCAGTCAAGGATCACGAGAATTAGTGGAGGTCGATATAGAAGAGTGATAACGGATATTACGATGGCAACAAAGAATCAAAACATGCATAACACACTACATTATTATCTCTCCTCTCAGCCACCGGCCGTTGTAGAAGGCACCATAACCGTGAGTGCCGCTGGCATCAGTCTGTAGTTGCATGTCGGGGGCTGGCGTCCACTCATCCACCAGGAAGAATGACTTCCCATTCCATATGGTCAGGGCCTCTGCCCACCACAACAGGTCTGCCATTGCCAATGCCGAAATGCGTAGCCATTGGTGCAATGGTGTTGATCGAGTTGCTCTGTCCAGGTCGTACAGGCGTCTCAGGAATGTGCGACCAGCTGGTACAGCTCTGGACGCGAACGAGAGTTTGCCCAATACGGAGGCGAGGTCGCGTTTCTGAACCCGGCCGGATTGGACGAGGGCCGACACGGTGGTAGATAGCTTAGTCAGCTTGGAGGGTGGAAGGCGGATCTCCAGAGCCATTGTGTCCAGCTCTAAGCCCAGGAAGGTGAGAACGGTAGAGGAGCCATCAACCTTCTCAGGTGCAACTGGGACCTGTAAATATGCAAACAGGTCGAGCAGTAGTGACTTCTGGTGCTGGGCAAGAGGAGGACTGGGAGGCGATACATTCAGGAAGTCATCCAGATAATGAATGAGATGGGGAAGGCGGCATGTGTCCTCCAGAACCCAGTGAAGGGCAGATGCAAACTTGTCAAATATGTACGGAGCTGACCGAAGGCCGAACGGGAGGACTTTTTCGAAATAGTAACGACCATCCCAAGAGATACCCAACAAGTGCCAGTCAGAGGGGGCAACAGGGCATAATCGGAAGGCGTTTCGAATGTCCACTTTGGTCAGGTAGCAACCACGGCCTAACTTCATGATATAGGAGATAACCGAATCGACAGTATAATCGGAAGGCGTTTCGAATGTCCACTTTGGTCAGGTAGCAACCACGGCCTAACTTCATGATATAGGAGATAGCCGAATCAACAGTGTCATACTCCCAAGCTGAATGACTCCCGGGAAATACCATCATTGACACTGCAGCCAGTGGGGGAGGATAGGTCATGGATGAGGCGAAATTTGCCATTGGATGTTGGGATCAGGCCCAAACCCGAGGTTTGAAACAACTGATATGGCGGCTCAGCAAACGGACCAGCTGTTTCCCTTAAAATTGACAACTGACGGACAAACCAGTGAACAGTCAAGTCGTCGGAAAGCAAATGTGACAAAGGAGTCTCTCTTTTCTCTTGCTCTCTCTCTAAAGCAAGATTTGGAAAGCACGCGTGGGAGAGTGGCGCGCGCTGCGCATGCGCATGTATAGCAATGACATCATAATCAGATGCATGATCATCAGACTAAGTATGAGTGGTAGATGTTCCACGTTCGTTAACAGGGCTTAGCGCACACGCTAAACCACCAATAAAATCACGGAAATCAAAAGGGTACGCTATAGCCGATACAGACTGTATTGGGCAAGGAGATGAGCCTGAGATGTTAGTGTTTGAAAAAATTATTTTATTCAACTCTCGATATCTACTAAGACCTAGCAAGGAAGAATTGGTCATATACGTTTTGCTATTCTCATGCCACACCCATTTTGAGTTGAAAAATATGACCAAAATCCTATATATAGGATTTAGCAAATTAAGAGATACGTTGCCATAGTGAACAGCGTAGTGAGGACTTGCGATCGGCTTAGCTCCTCCAGAGAGAAGGTCGATCACTGCAGAATTTGGTCATTTTCAATTGTCTTCGTTCAGAAAGTGGTGAAACGTCAATAATTTTTCGACATCATTAATAAAAGAATTTTCATCTATTATAATTATATAAAAGAGTGAATAGCAACTAAATAGAGCGGTTGACAAACCCCCTTTATTTTCAATTGTCTTATTGAAGTTATTGTATTCACGATGTGAAAGAAGTACTGTGTTCAATGCTGTTAGTGCCGTGAACTGTTGAGAAGATGCTTGGTATTCGCCATCTCTCCTGAGAAATTTTCAGCATATTTTCAAAAAAGTACGGGCATTATGTCGTTCGTCAATCTCCACCACCCGTCGTCTCACCTGGCTTCAGAAGATGTTACGAGAGATGGGAGAGTCGCCAGCAAGCATCACATCCATCTTCAGGAAGTGGAAAGAGCAAACGGCATGGTCTTCGGTTGGGGTAAATGCTGAACGTCTGATTTGTCCCAACCAAGATTTCTGCACTTGGTTCGCCACTATTTTCGCTTGTCTGCTGATGTCTCCACACCCCAGCTTTCTCCCGCCGGTGTCATGTCCCAGTACACAATGGAGAGGACTACTAATAAACAGTTCACGGCACGAACAACATTGAACACAGCACTTCTTTCACATCGTGAATACAATAGAACGATTGAAAATGACCAAATTCTGCAGTGATCAACCTTCTCTCTGGCGGAGCTAAGCCGACCTTCTCTCTGGCGGAGCTAAGCCGACCGCACGTCATCACTGCGCTGTTCGCTATGGCAACGTATATCATACAATTGGCGATTTGGCGAGTTTGGCTTATCGTATGCAAGCGAGAGATATGCCATTCGAACCGATATCAAATTGTCTTTCATCTGAGCCCTACTTGAAAAATCAATGCGCTTCCCCTTTAACCCTTAGGTGCCGGTAGGTCGATTTCGGCCTATGCTGACAGTGCATACTAAAATCGAGTCACGTACATCGCAGGTGCCTGATTTTTTGTACAGAGACCCTTCAGTAGCTGGCCTGTAGATAGCAATAGAGAAAGTAGGGGGTTGCATTTGAAAAAGTCGGGTCGTGATCAACGACGATCGCGCAGATCAGCGGAAGTCAATCGAGCGTGGCAGCCTACGCATGCGTCCCGCAACACGAACAAAACGTTGCTGTTTCACTTCGTTTTCGACTAGTACAGTTCATGGCTACTGCAGCTGACCTCCGTCATGGATGCTGCAGGAGCGCTTGAGTTGTTTGAAGAGCTGGAGGCCGATGATGCCCCTGTAGAAGAAGAATCAGAAGACGACGATGGTGAATAATCTGACGCTCTTTTCTCTGACGGAAACCTGCCGTCATCAGATGAGGAAGACTGACTCAACGATGATTTGGTTTTCGGTAAATTTCTTGAGAACGGCAGCTCTTGAGATGAGGACAAAATTTCCGACGATGAGCTTCAAGAAGCTGTAGGGCGAGGGCAAGCGCAGCCAGTTCGTGGACGTGCTCCGCTCGCGCTGCGCGGAGGACTTGTTCGCGGCGCTGGTCGAGCTCAGCCAGCTGATGGAACAGCTGATCGTGGCGTGCGTGGCGCGTGTGGCGGAGGCCGTGGACGAGGTAGTGGATTCGGCGTGATGAGTGGTGTTGGCGACCAAGATGTTCTTGGACCAGCGCAGTACCCTGACCCTATTGTAGATTTTTCTGACTTGAAAATTCAAAAATCGGATTTTGCTGTGTCTTGCCATTCAGAATACATACTTTTGTCGCTACATTATCTAAACGGTTGCGGAGATATAGGCTTTCCAAAAAATTGAGCCAAAACTACGAAAAATCTAAAATTCAGTCAGGCACCAAAGGGTTAATAACCAACCGTTATGCTAACAGGCCAACCTCACGAACACTGTACTTCACACTGGTCTCATTCAACCAATCTCTTCACATATTGAAAAATTACATTCTGCGCAACTTATTGTTCACATAGAGAAGCCATGGAGAAGTACTGGTACATGTATTCAGTCGGCTGGCCTCTCTCCTTCTCTCATTCCATCTTCACATTGATAGGGCCCCAGCACGAATATATTGTAGCCAACAAAGCTTTAAAGCTTTACAAGTACATGTAGTTCTTACCGCATCTGACTGCTCCTTGAGTTCATTGAAGATCTGTTGGTACTTGACTGAAGCAACCTTGGCACCCTTGGCCTCCAGAAGCTTACGCAAAACTTTAGTAATGGCTGAGCGACGCGTTCTCTCCGTTGCACTCAGACCAGTGGTCAGGATACCAATGTCGATAGTGCCAGTTCTCGGATCCACGGCCGACTGCTTCAAAGCTTCACGATGCAGTCTGATCAAAGTGTACAGCACAGAAGATAGTGATGGGAGAATGGGGGTAGCTCACAACAGCAATAGCAACAACTGAGCAAAACTCTACGCCAATCCTAATGGGGTACTACTGTACATAATAACAGTCTCTGCTGTGCAGAACAATGAGAAGAAGCAGGTCATCAGGCTTGTCTCTAATTGCCGCATTGTGTCGTTGCCATTGTCGCGCAATAAGTCACTACATTGCTGGCACGCATCCCGAAAAACACGACACAACACTGGGAAAGTCGGCTGTCTATATCCTAATCTGCAACACTGGGAAAGTCGGCTGTCTATATCCTAATCTGCAACACTGGGAAAGTCGGCTGTCTATATCCTAATCTGCAACACTGGGAAAGTCGGCTGTCTATATCCTAATCTGCAACACTGGGAAAGTCGGCTGTCTATATCCTAATCTGGGCATTTACCAGTTTCTACATCAACATACAGGGGGGGGGGGGGGGGCAATGTTGTAACTGGCCCACTACTGTCACTACTGTCAATGCCTCCCTCACCTCTTGGCCTCGTCAACATCCAGCGGCTCAACAACTTCAGCCAGACGCATTTTGGCGTGAGCCTCAGACAAGCGGATTAGTGACTCCAGCTGACGAGGATATGCAGACACACTACCACGCTGGCTACCAATTTTGCGCATCTCTGAAACAATAACAACCATAGCAGCAGCAAAAAAGGCATGCTGAGCACAGCTGGTAGAACTAGAATGTTTAAAAAAAACCCTCAGTCAGCCACTTTCTTTTTCAGGAAAAAAGGTGATCAACAATCGACGAGAAGACACTAATAATTACCCTGGCTATGAAGAGAACCAACTGCACTAGTTCCAAATTCCAAGTGTAAACTCTGACATCCTCAAGAACATTTTTTTCACTGTTTGTAACCATAATTATAATTCCACTCCTAGCCCTTTGTGTACTACCGTAGAATCCCGCGGATAAGCCCGTGGGCTTATCTGTTTCACAAGGACATTTCGCATGGCTTATACGAGAACATGGGCTTATACGCGGGCATAGGCTTATACGCCGACACCAAGTTGTGCTATTGAAAAGTATAAAGGAAGTGAGAAGTACATTGCTGAAAACCACTGTGCAAACAAAAACAACCGATGATTGTGCTGAAATGTACGGGAAAAACCCTAATGTGCATGTACTATGTACATGGTATGGCCAAGAGTCCATAATTTATGGACTCTCGGTATGACCTAAGCCCATGGGCTTGTACGATGAAGCTTTGCAATGTTCGAACAAACCCTGGGCTTATGCGCGGGATTCTACGGTACTGTAAAAGCCTGTAATAAGGCCCTGGGCGGAATAGTTAGTGAAGGTCCAGACCACGGGCATCAATTTGGGCCTGGGCGCTAAGGTGAGAGCTGATACAACGCAAAAAAATTGCAATGGCCAATCTATGCACACTGGGCTATATCAAGTGTCTTAAGCCCCTTCAGCGATGCAAATGGCGCAGATCATAAATTCACCCAGACCAAGTTACTGTAAAAAGGAATGAAAAAACGGGCCAAGTATCACTAGATGTGTACGTACCGACATAAGCATGGATCAGCATTTGTCCAGCCTCATCTCCAAGACGTGGCTTAAGTCCACGAGCGTAGGCGATGTAATCACGTAGTGTGGTACGGTCCTATCAATAACAGGCACACCACCATTGAGAAATCAAAATCACATACCTCAAGATTTACAGCAGTATGAACACCCTGCACGTTGCACATGATATGATCACCCAACACCCACCAAGCTAGGTGAAACAGAGAAAGCGATATGATCACCCAACACTCGTCAAGCTAGGTGAAATAGAGAAAGCAATATGATCACCCAACACCCGTCAAGCTAGGTGAAATAGAGTAAGCAATATGATCAACCAACACCCATCAAGCTAGGTGAAATAGAGTAAGTAATACGAAACACACACACACACACACACACACACACACACACACACACACACACACACACACAGAGCAACAAGGAACAAGAAGACCCCCACCTCACCTCAGCCTCAGGTTGACTGCACCCCTGCGGATGCAGATCTGCATTACTGTTGTCTAGGGCTGGGAGTTTAAAAATTATACTGATAACTCGCATATCGATCGTTAAGAGTGCAATCGATAATCGTTAGTGTTCAAAACAAGTGCTAACGATTTTCTATGATTGCATATCAGTGACGGCATTCTAGCCCTTGCACTCCATCTGATAGTGGATACAAGTGACATCATGTACTTTCAAGTGCAGCAAAATTGATTCGTGGCTTTGAAAGAGATCGGGAAAAGACTTTGCCTTTTAAGTTCATTTTTGGGAGAAGCTGGAGATGAGAGCAGTTGCCTGAGGGTGATGACAAGATTCTTCGCTTTAGAAACAACATGAGGTTCTCGACTTGAGTAGTTCATGTTGATAAACCAGCCAGATATATTACAGATGTCAACAGTGCAGTGCCACAAATTTCTGACGTAGCAAAGGCATCATGGAATTTCTTCATAACCGGTGTTCGATAGAACTGACAAGAATCGATAAAACCAATATATCAATCGTTAAGGATTTTGGTTGATCGTTAGGAGTTATTGAATGATCGTTTCAGCCCTACTGTTGTCACTGTGTGCGCATAGCAATACACGCAACAGCCAACAGCCAACAGCCGAGAGAGAGAGAGAGAGAGAGAGAGAGAGAGAGAGAGAGAGAGAGAGAGAGAGAGAGAGAGAGAGAGAGAGAGAGAGAGAGAGAACGGTCAGGTCCATATCAGCAATGGGAGAAACCTATCTGCACTGCTTGAAGGGCGGAGTTGATTTGGATGTGCATGCTCGGACATACCATGTGCTCTTCCTCCTCTTGTCTCTGGTCCTGATGGTAAAGAGAAACAAGATGACGGGCAAGGCGGCGATCAAACAACTCGTCTTGTGGATCCAGGATCAAGAAAATCAGGTCAAATCTACAAATGCAACACACACAAACACACACACAAACACACACACAAACACACACACAAACACACACACAAACACACACACAAACACACACACACACACGCACACATGCAGAGAGCACATGAAAGTACAAACAGGTTGACACAACAAAACGGCAGTGGCGGCGGCTGATTAGAACATTGGACAAGGTACGAAATGAGGTTATGCCAATGATTTCAGAGCTGGGAGCCCGCGGAACCGCTTATGGGCGCTACAAGGTTCACAGCCAACCAAGCCAAGCACACAAAATAATCGTCAAAATTCCAAACTTTTTCCAAACCTTTTCCAAACCAGAATGAAGTTGAAGACACCACTGCAGCTGTACTTATGGTTGATAAATATGGTGGTAAAGACACACCTGGCAATATGGCGGTAAATACACGCCTGCCCACGCACGCTCTCTAGGCTGCAAAGTTCTGGCACAGAGCTCTCCTTCTCACCACCACCATCATCAGTTCGCGCCTGGCGCCTAGTCGATGCATGGTTGGTGGTATCCGACATAGCAGGCTGGTACATCAAGTAGCGCATGGCACATAGAAGATGACACAGCAGCGACATAGCTCGATTGTGACGTACCTTTTGTCTCCGCTGGACTCATCAGGCAATCTTCTTCTTGGATGTCTTCATATGGAGCTTGACTCGGGAGAATGACGCCAGGCGCGAACTGATGGTGGTGGTGGTGAGAAGGAGAGCTCTGTGCCAGAACTTTGCAGCCTAGAGAGCGTGCGTGGGCAGGCGTGTATTTACCGCCATATTGCCAGGTGTGTCTTTACCACCATATTTATCAACCTTTTGTCCTTTTCCAAACCAATTTCAAGAATTTCCAAACCCACAAACGGCAGTTCTTGGTTTGAATATGATAGTGGTCAAGTCGCTTGGTTGCGAGTTATCAACTAGCTAGTAGCCACTAACTGGCGCTAAGTAGACAGCAGAACCGCTTATGGGCGCTATGTATGCAGCGTGTGAGTCGGTAGCGCAGCGCTGTGCCATGACTTCGCCAAAGCATCTTTTAAAAATGATGGTGCAATCGCATAACCTCTATAGGGAGGGAACTCTGCAGTTCATTTATTGGCAACTGGCACCCGAACTTTTTAATCGCGCCTCCGTTCTATTTTTCGTACGGTAAATTCCCAAAAGTGGTCTTTAGTATGCTCTCAGCATCGTAGCGGGAGAGTTTTAACCCTTTATGTACTGAAAAATTGTACACAGACTGAATTTGATCTCGACTTTCGAGCTTCGTAACTCTGGAACCACACATCGGAGCGCTTCAGCGATTGTTTTAATGGACAGCTGGGAGTTTTCTCTTTGACTTACATATTTTAGTTTTTGGATATAACCCAGAAATGACTGAGTTACGATCGATTGAAAATTTGAAAAGTTTCGATCCCAGGGGATCGAAAGTTGTACAGTCCGTACACAAAGGGTTAAATGAACGGACTGTAAGTAAATTGGTCACATACCAGTACATGTGCATAGCCTCTTTACTGACGGACCATGAACTTATCCATGAACTTATCCATCACGGATTATCGATAAATTCAACAAATTTCAAACTATCGTAACTTGGTCAATTCTAAGCAGTTTGGAGAAAACGAAATACAGTACGTATAGGCCGTCGAAGTCGGACGTCACTGCTTTTTGACAACGCGTAGTTACTTGGCCAAGACAAACAAGAGTCGCGTCACCTGCGCTTGTTGTGTTTCCAGTGGCAGCATGCACTCGCCAGCAGTGAACACAGCATCATTTTGACTGAGGAGCGTGCGGGCGAGAATATTTGTTACAACTAAACTACTAATTGTGGCGGAGTTTGTAGTTTTCATTTTGTAGAGAAGGAGAAGCTGTAGTTGAATTTTTGCTTACCCACTGCTGTGCCTGTACTGTTGTTCGGCAATACATGCACATGTAGTTGCCGGCCAAGAAAGAATGATGGGTGTCTCTGTAATTTCTATCGAGACGATAGCTGATTTATTTTGGTTCTGAGACAAACCAACTCTGGGCTCATTTCCTTGTCCAGCGGCAAGCAAAAATCAGAACTCCTTATCTCTCAGGTGCTGGTGAACACTCAGCAGGAAACACTGCAGCATCCTTCTGCGCAGGTCATGAGTGGAAATATTATGACGTTCCGCCCCTCACAGATTTGAACCTCCTCGTGGACAACTTTTTCCTTCTTTTTCCCTGAATACGCCATTTCTTCTTTTTCCCTGAATACGCCATTTCCGAAGGAAAAAGAGGCTTTACAGCAGGAATTTGCCCAAAAAATCCGCAAAAAAATCCACGGTTCGCGTGCGACTCGGCTGAAGGCCGAGTTTTCCGCATCCGCAGAAAAAAATATTTTTGTTTTCCTGCTCAGCAAGGGTGTGACTTGACATACCGTAAAGTTCCGTGTATACGCCCACTCGAAATAACACCCATGCCCGAAATATCGCCAATCGAATCGACATCCACACTCAAAGCCCGCGAGTTCGCCCATGCCCGAAAACCGCCCAGAGTGATGCTGTACCTGTGTATGCAAACGGTCTTGGTATCCTCCAGCCGTATACGAACGTACCATATCTATATCGTACGTATACGAACGTACTATATCTTGACGTACATGTACGTCATCAGAGCCGGGGCGTCATTCAGGATGATGTACATGTACGTCATCCGCGGTGAAAGAGTTAAGAGAGCATGTCTGAGAATACCAAAGTATGTGTGCAAGTGGATCTCTCCGATTTCGCTCAAAATTTGCAGGTAGGTTCCCTTTGGGGTGTGGATCGATTATGCAAAGCCCTTGAAAAAGTTTCTGAAGGGAACCTTGAAATTTGCATACCCCTCAAAAATGGCCGAAATATCACATTATTTATGGGTCTAGAAACGAGTCACGCCACAGCGTATACGAACAAGCTATGAACAAAACTCCATCAAGCCAACATTGCCTCACCTTAGAAGAGTTCCTGGAGCAGTACCGCTTAGCCACGCCAGCATCCCAGAAGACGAGGTCCATCACCCCCTGACGCCACAAATGATCGTCTTGAAAATAGCCAATTTACAAGCGCTGGCAAAACAGCCAGCTACGTCCTCAATTGGCCAGAACTATACACCGGCAGATAGTAGAACACCTCTTCTAGCGCTGAGGACATGTCCCCCATCTTCCTTTTGGGGTTTTCTTGAAATAAACTTTTTTGAATTTTTCCACTCGACCATGCTGAAATACGGCCAAAGTCATACCTGCGCAGGAAAGCTCGCCACTCCGCGACGTCTCCTCAGCAATTTCTACTCCAACACTACTCCCAAGGCCGCAGAACAACATGTAGTGTTGACTCTGACAAGGAAAAGCAGCGGTGATCACTTGTCTCTCCAAACGACAAGCTTCTCCTTGCGCCACCAATAATTTTTTGTGCGACTGTTGCTGAAAAAGTGACTGAAGGCCTGAGCGCAGTTTTTGAATTTTATTGCAAGATGCACGGTGAAATCACGTGCCTTGTGACGCAAGAATGCCAAGTCGCGTGGCCCACGGCTCACGAGATTTCAGAGTCACCTTTGTCAAGTGCGCTTGTTACTCGCCTTGAACGCCCGTTGGTCTGGAAGTGATCACACTTGTGTTGTTACGGCGCTGAAGAACACGCTGACCGTGTTGTAGGCCTACGAACCGGGACTTTCCCTGACCATGTAGGTCGAAGACCAGTGAAATGATGATGAAATCACATTCTTTATGACGTAAGAAATCTCTCATGCAGTTCACGCGACAAGTGCGTGCAGCCAGTGCTGCTCGCGTGCCAGTCAACACAAAGGGACCGAGCTAGTCGCTTTTGTCGAGCATCGACATGAAAACAAGGGACTTTTACTGTTGGACTATGTTCGGGATTGCAGGAGGTAAGTGTGAAAGACGAATAACTCTCCATGCTGTACGGGGCATATTCCAACGGCTTGCTGCCATTGCAACACTCCTAGGACAGTTTGTGGGGGTTCTCAGCAGTTCAAGCAGGAAATGAAGCTCATCTTACCTCTGCCATCATGGTCTGTTCCGAGTAGCGTTCCAGGCACATTCGCGATCGATGGCCGCGTAACGTGATGCAGGAAGCGTCATCCTACGTCACAGAGCACGCGATCTCACCGTGCATCTTGCAATAAAATTCGAAAACTGCGCTCAGGCCTTCAGTCACTTTTGCATCAACAGTCGCACAAAAAATTATTGGTGGCGCAAGGAGAAGCTTGTCGTTTGGAGTGACAAGTGATCACCGCTGCTTTTCCTTGTCAGAGTCAACACTACACTTTGTTCTGCGGCCTTGGGAGTAGTGTTGGAGTAGAAATTGCTGAGGAGACGTCGCGGAGTAGCGAGCTTTCCTGCGCAGGTATGACTTTGGCAGTATTTCAGCACGGTCGAGTGGAAAAATTCAAAAAAGTTTATTTCAAGAAAACCCCAAAAGGAAGATGGGGGACATGTCCTCAGCGCTAGAAGAGGTGTTCTACTATCTGCCGGTGTATAGTTCTGGCCAATTGAGGACGTAGCTGGCTGTTTTGCCAGCGCTTGTAAATTGGCTATTTTCAAGACGATCATTTGTGGCGTCAGGGGGTGATGGACCTCGTCTTCTGGGATGCTGGCGTGGCTAAGCGGTACTGCTCCAGGAACTCTTCTAAGGTGAGGCAATGTTGGCTTGATGGAGTTTTGTTCATAGCTTGTTCGTATACGCTGTGGCGTGACTCGTTTCTAGACCCATAAATAATGTGATATTTCGGCCATTTTTGAGGGTATGCAAATTTCAAGGTTCCCTTCAGAAACTTTTTCAAGGGCTTTGCATAATCGATCCACACCCCAAAGGGAACCTACCTGCAAATTTTGAGCGAAATCGGAGAGATCCACTTGCACACATACTTTGGTATTCTCAGACATGCTCTCTTAATATGGACATGTACGCAAAAACTATGTGTTGCCCCAATACACAACATACAAACATTCTTATCAGTCATAGAAATAAACCTATACAGAATGAGGCACCTCCCTGTACACACACATACACATACCGTTACAGACAGACAACCATACAGCCAGACAAACATACAGCCAGACAAACATACAGCCAGACAAACATAGAGACAGGCACACAAAAGCGTACCTGGACAACAGGGTATGTGGCAGTTGGATATTGTCAACTGTTGTCAACTTGGGATTCCAACGGGACTCCCGTGGGTTGGCAGCAGCTAGAATGGACGTCCTTGCATTGAGCGAGCAGATGATACCAGCTTTTGCAATGGACAACGTTTGTTGTTCCTGAGAAAATACACACACAATGCGTCACACACACAGACACACACAGACACACACACACACAGACACACACACCATTGGACCTTTGGAAAGCCCATCGCCGAAGGCGATGATAGCTATTAGGCGAGGCAGTAGTGCTTGTGTCGGGATAAATCATTCGGACGGCGAAAGTCGCGGCCGCAGACACACACGCAGACACACACGCACACACACACGCACACACACACACACACACACACACACACACACACACACACACACACACACATGGCAGAAGTAGAGGACAGTGTAGCAGTGACAGGATACCCATAGCTACACAGTACAAAATAAAGTAATACAGTAATTATACTACACAGCAGCAGCAGTAGCTAGGACAATGATACGTCCTGCTAGTATTAGGCACTGCAGGTCCTGCTAGTATTAGGCATTCCAGGCGGGTTTTTTTCAAAACCAGAAATATTCGTTTTTTTCTTTCCTGAATCCGATTCAGATAGGTTTAGGAAGACTCCACAGAAAATTTGAAGCAAAAAGAATAACCTAGCACAGAGATAAAGCCACCCAAAGTTGGAGAATTGTCTAACGGCAGTATCAGCTTTCACAGGCGTCTGCTTTTCCCAAATTGTCGAAGTCACATGGATGGCTTTGCCAAGTCATGGCCTTGAGAATGTCCCCTTTCACTAGCAATGGTGCACTGTGGTGGGAAGTGGGAGTTGTGCTAGGAGCTGAAAGGCTGAGCGAGATACAACAGTGTATTGCCTATGACATCATAAATATCCAACCGGAACTTCACAGCATGGAAAAATAAAATCACGCAACCGCATCACTACAGTTGCCTTTTTTAGTGAAGCGAGACTGCATATGTGACAGGAAAATGAATCATTCCCAAAATATCCATCAACACGTAATGGCAGGGCGGGACACTGTTATATCTCGCTCTCAACTCCTAGCACAACTCCCACTTCCCGTCACAATGCACCATTGCTAGCGAAATGGGAAATTGCGCATCGGAGCTTCAAGCTTCGATATAACAGTGCATTCTTCAAAACGCACAAGACACACAAAAAACACGTGGGATAAACATATTCATTCCCATGCATGGGTAACATTACAGTCACAGGACAGGCACCTAAGTGTCCTGATACCAGCAGGTCAGGCTATTGCCTAAACCCCGGGGCTGAGAATGGCTGCAATGTAAGTGGCTGCTGAGAGAGAGAGAGAGAGAGAGAGAGAGAGAGAGAGAGAGAGAGAGAGAGAGAGAGAGAGAGAGAGAGAGAGAGAGAGAGAGAGAGAGAGAGAGAGAGAGAGAGAGAGAGAGAGAGAGAGAGAGAGAGATAGAGAGAGAGCACAATGTGATAAACAACAGAGATTCGGAATAGCACGTTCTTTTCAATAGCAACAACCTGAATAACAGCTGAAGAGTACGAGTATTGCACCCGTTACATGCTGGTTAGCTACCTAAACATGCCCAGAACCATCAGCAAAACAGCCGCAGCATACACCTTACCATGACTTCATGAAGAATGGCACGGGTGCTGTCATTCATCTTGTCGAACTCGTCAATACAGCAAACGCCATTGTCACTAAGTACTAGAGCACCACTGAGATAACAATACCAGCAACACAACCAGCAATAGTAACGCCAACAGCGGCAGCAGCAGCACCACCACCGGCAACAGCAACAGCAACGGATAACACCGTTTCAGTCAAAACAAAAATAGTAAAATACCCAACTGCAACTAAGGCATACAAAACCAAGTATGACAAACTAGTCATCAAACTGATGTAAGAGAAAGACCATCCGAAAAATAGGGCTGGAATGAAGACAGTAGGGCTAAAGGAAATGTGGTCATACTTGTCACACTGCTTATGGCAGAGGGAGAGAAAGCGACAAAGGACTAGTTCTCGCAACTTGCATCGTGTGTGGAACATTTCCAAATCCAAACCCCACACACACACCGCTATCACAACAGAGAGGTCACTAATTTGCAGCCAGGCACTGACATTTTAATACCACCGACTGAAATAAATATCTCACCCAGAGAGCAAAGAGTATTCAGCAAGATAAAGGCGCAGATTAGCATCAAAAACATGCAATGGAAACTGTTTGGACCTGGACCTGTTTGAATGGTCACCCCATACACCATGTAGCACCCTCACAATACTGAACGTTAATTAAAAACCCTCCACACAGGATGAATGGACAAGGGGGCACGAAAGGTTCTTACGTCTGAAGAACTAGCTGCTTTGTCTCTGGGTCCTTTGTGATATAGGCAGTGAGGCCCACCGCCGACGAACCCTTGCCGGACGTGTACTGACCACGTGGTAGCAAGTGATGTACATACTACACATAGATATGCACAGACAGGCATAGGTACACAGATAGGAACCGATACACAGACACACAGACAAAGACAAGGACATAACAACGCGAGTTGAGTGATATGCTCTCACAAGATCATAAGCCCACTTGGTGGGTTACCAACAAACAGTGTGAGCTATCGTTGAGAACCTAGCGTGTATACTGTATAGTACTGTATACTAATCAACCCATATAATTATATCAAGAACACAGACACAAAAAATACACACACACACACACACACAAAAATACACACACACACACACACACACACACACACACACACGCACACACACACACACAGAGAAATCACTTGTTGACTTTCAGTACATGTACTTGTACCTGCAGTAGCTGTGACTTGCTAGTACCCGGGTCACCACACAGCAGAATGTTGACTTCGGAACGAAATGCACTGTGACCAGTGTTAGTCAGGTCCTTCTTGGCGCCACCAAAGAGCTGAAGAAGAACACCTTTCTTGACATCTTCGTTCTCATAGATACTTGGCGCTAAGAGAAAAACAAACAGAACGACATACAGCTCATCCCTAGTATCTATTAAAGGGAGAACCCTACGGCATAGCAGCCTACATTTAGCTACTGTTGATCGATTTGGTACTAGAGTTAACCAAATTCACTCCACCTACACCATCATTGCAAAGCATACTGCAGTCAACTGCATTTAGAATTTAATGGTGTGCTTTTAGCTGGCCTAAAAGGTCTCAAGTTACATGTTAGGACAACTGTTAAAGGGGAAGTTAAGGCAAAAATTAAAATTTCACCAGTTGTAGTCTTCGGGGTGCTGAGTCGAATGGTCGTGGTCCGAGGAAGCTGAGACGCTCCCTTCCTACTTGAATCCCAATCGAACTCGCGCACTTCCACTGAAACTGGGTGACTGCGCCCTACTAGATGGGGATTTGTATGCAAAATGTCACTAAAAGCGCCATTTCGTTCTTATAAAAGCACGGATGACCGCGATTGGCCCATATGTTGTAGTCTTTTGGACGCCGAGTCGACTGGTTTTGGTCCGAAAAGGCTGCGATGCAGCGTTCCTCCTTTATTCCCAATCGAACATGGTTGAACAAGCGGTCACGTGCTCCTGGGTGCCCAAATCACCTGGTCACCACGCCAGCAGGCGACAACTTTCACACCAAGGTTCCACTCGAGTGACAGGATTGCACCCAAAAAAGGTCAAACAGGCTAGTAAGTTGTACCCTGCAGGCATGGTGACCAGGTGACTAGCGTACGCAGGAGCACGTGACCGCTTGTTCAACCATGTTCGATTGGGAATAAAGGAGGAACGCTGCATCGCAGCCTTTTCGGACCAAAACCAGTCGACTCAGCGTCCAAAAGACTACAACATATGGGCCAATCGCGGTCATCCGTGCTTTTATAAGAACGAAATGGCGCTTTTAGTGACATTTTGCATACAAATCCCCATCTTGTAGGGCGCAGTCACCCAGTTTCAGTGGAAGTGCACGAGTTCGATTGGGATTCAAGTAGGAAGGGAGCGTCTCAGCTTCCTCGGACCACGACCATTCGACTCAGCACCCCGAAGATTACAACTGGTGAAATTTTAATTTTTGCCTTAACTTCCCCTTTAACAAACGTGTGCATTGTCAAAGCATAACATACCAAGTGCACGTGCTAGTCGCTCGTAGATATCTGGCAGCTGGGAGAGCTCCTTGAGCTGCTCAATACGCTCTGCAGTCAGTGACTTCTCCAGGCTGTATGCAACGGAACAACACAACAAGCAGCAAAAACTCAGAGAAGGAAATGAAGCAAACCAAGAATAATACCGGTATAGATGTGGAAAGCCCACTTGCTGCAGCAAACTTACACATGGCCCGATGTCTGAGACTTTCGACCTTCGGGGCTACGTTTTTTTTATTTAGAGAAAAAGTCACATATGCACGCGAAAAAGCACGCACATGCGCGCATGCCAAAAGCACACACACACACACACATGCACGCAAAAAGCACGCACACACACACACACACACACACACACACACACACACACAGCTAGCAGAACTGGCGAAACAGATGAAACAAAGGAGTAGAACGGACGACTGCTGTACTGTAACAACCTGACAGTAAACAATGACTGAAAAAGAACGGGAGGAAAAACACTGCCAAATTTCACATCACACAAAAACTGTCCACGAAAGATCCACCAAGCAAAAGGAGTGTGGGCATCCGAAATCCCACCAGAACTCCACTGGCAGTTCTTCCACGTTGAAGATGTAAGCGGCAGGGCTGGGCCTCACACAATCCGACAAACTTCCACAACGCTTGAACAGTGTACTCGTAACGACGAAAGTTTGAAGCGTTTCAATTTCCACCATTCTGCCATTGCTACCTTCCTCTTCGCTCTTGCTCGTCCACTCCACTGTAAACAACTCGTTCCAGCGCTCCACAGACCAATCTGCAATCCCCACCACTGCTACCTTTCAGCTTAGATGACATTACAGCACTCGAGGGACAGCTACTCCACTGCAAGTGGTGGACCACGGCCGACGCAGCAGTGACAATATCGAAATAATTTGTCCTGAAAACTACATCGCAATTCCGCGTTCCAATCTTTCAGCGCTACTTTGGCAGTGTACGAAGGTGCTCCAGGGTCGACTCTGGCTATGCCAGAGTTGCACTGGGCAGGCAAAGAGCTCTAGAGAAAGCCAGAAAGCGGAGCTCAGAAAGTGTAACCTGCTCCCAAGGAGCACACACACACACACACACACACACGCACACTGTCTGTCCTGAACATTGCCGTTTCCGGTTACATGTCCCCTCGTGTGAGGGGCCGACAGGCATGGAGAGTTGGGTCGAGGCGCTGTGTCGCATCAACGACCTAGCGAGATTTCCTAGCCATTTCATACACACACACACACACATACACACACACATACACACACACACACACACACACACACACACACACAGGATACATACTCGTCCTCGCGACCATGCAGACGGTCACCATCAGTCTTCATAAATTGCACAGCATCAATGTACGTCTTGAAGACAGCTTTGAAGTTGCGCATGCGCGGGTGGACGCGAAGCGGTGCTGCACGGTAAATGCCCGTGACTGAGACCCTGCACAACAGCCGCGAGAAAAAAGATTTGAAACAACAACAGTAGTAAACACAGTATTATGGTATAGTCATATCATAGCTTATCACTCTCTTACTCCCATTGAATATTGCTCTGCCGAAGTAGTCAAATAGAATTATATTCCTGCATGTTTCACTCCTTAAGGCTATATAGAGATTATTGACTGCTTATAGTTGACTCGTTTTAGGGATCGAACACATGCTTTGGTTTGGATTGGATTTTTAATTTATAGTGGTGACTATAACAGACAATTGCCTAATAACAATAGACCCACTCGAGGGAAAGATGCAAAAAGATATGAATAATTAATATAATAGACTACCGGTATTGGATAGGTTTGTCGTGATGAATCGACTTCTGTAATGTTGACTTCATACGAGGTCAATACGCCTGACCTGACTCGTACGCTATGGTTCCCCTTAGTATTTCTCACCTTGCTTCGTCTCATGGTGGGAGCTGCATACTCTCATGGTGGCAGCTGCATACTCTTGTCTCATGGTGGCAGCTGCATACTCTCATGGTGGGAGCTGCATACTCTTGTCTCATGGTGGCAGCTGCATACTCTTGGGCAGCTATGGACTACTCTTGCTACCCCCCCCCCAGCCATAAAATAACGTTACTGCCGTTACTACATAAGGCATACACTGCATCCGCCGTCCACACACATACCAAGGCATACACTGCATCCGCCGTCCACACACATACCAAGGCATACACTGCATCCGCCGTCCACACACATACCAAAGCATACACTGCATCTGCCGTCCACACACATGCCAAGGCATACACTGCATCTGCCGTCCACACACATGCCAAGGCATACACTGCATCTGCCGTCACAATGTGCCATTGCTTGTGAAATGGGACATTGCATATCCACACACATATCAAGGCATACACTGCATCCGCCGTCCACACATATACCAAGGCATACACTGCATCCGCCGTCCACACACATGCCAAGACATACACTGCATCTACCGTCCACACACATACCAAGGCACACACTGCATCTGCCGTCCACACACATACCCAGGCATACACTGCATCTGGCGTCCACACACATACCAAGGCATACACTACGTCTGCCGTCCACAAACATACCCAGGCATACACTGTATCTGCCGTCCACACACACACCAAGGCATACACTGCATCTGCCGTCCACGCACACACCAAGGCATACACTACGTCCGCCGTCCACACACATGCCAAGGCATACACTACGTCTGCCGTCCACAAACATACCAAGGCATACACTGCATCTGCCGTCCACACACATGCCAAGGCATCCACTTCCGCCGTCCACGCAGATACCAAGGCATGCACTGCATCTGCCGTCCACACACATGCCAAGGCATACACTACGTCCGCCGTCCACACACATGCCAAGGCATACACTACGTCTGCTGTCTACGCACATACCAAGCAATGGCCTTACTTACCGATCACCAGGCTGCACGGAATCGACAAGGTTGTTGTGTGCGTATACCATGATAGTGTGAGGTGTCTGGCCAGGTGGCATGTCGTCTGAAAGTAAACAAACACCAAACGCCCACACTCAATCAGAGTGTGATGCTCCTGTGCTCCGAACTGTCTCGCATCTACTCAACCCTACAACTGGCAACGAGTACAAGTTCAAAGCAGAATCAGCAAATAAATAGAGCAGTAAGGTACATGCACACCCACCCACCTGCACCCACATAATTATACACACCCACATAATTATACACACCCACATATATATACACACCCACATATATATACACACCCACATAATTATACACACCCACATAATTATACACACCCACATATATATACACACCCACATATATATACACACCCACATAATTATACACACCCACATAATTATACACACCCACATATATATACACACCCACATAATTATACACACCCACTACGTGTATATAGATATGAGCCGAGCCAAGCAAAGAGGTGGCTTAGCCATAATTTTTGGGAACTTATTTGTTCATGCCAAAGTGGTGTCTACCTATCCAGCTTCCATCATGAAAATTCTGGTGCCCATCTGAAATGTGTATGTGACCTAAATAAGCAAACATTGTGCACATGTAACAGAATGCCTGGTATCAATGACACAAAGGATTTGGAGACCTGCCCAAACACCAAAAAACATGGGACACCAAATGGAGACAAAGTTTAGCAGGTGTGCAAGCAATGCAAGAAGAACAAGCGCCTGTGTTCTAATTAGAAGACCCAAGAAAGAAGAAAAACTGATCTACGTATCTCATGTCATTTCATCACGCAACACGAATTTTCATATCCTTCAGTGATGTTGTGACTATATTTTCGCTGGGCTGGGAAACGTCGCATCTTACCAAGACAGTCCGTCATACTCTCTCCAATCACCTATGCCAGCATGAATTAATCCTTTCATGTAGCTCGTAGTGTTGTGCCAGAGATCAAGCTCCAATGGTGTACTGCCCTTGCACCTAGGTCCAGCATACTGCACATCGCTAAAAAGCGACACTGGTTCTTTGTCCGTACTAGTCCATGTCATTCTCCTTCCCTGGTAAGGATAGTGGTAGAAGGCGCCACGGGACGGTACGCTAGCAGGTAGAGTCCATGCATCGCTACGTCGTGTGGCACTATTTCCGTGAAATGAGGAAATTTTGGAATCCAGTACGCCACGTCATGAACACTTGAAGGTAGCCAAAACAAAGTGAAACATCGCAAGAGCCAACTCACTAGGCAGCTTGTCAGAACGATAGTCGGAAGGCTTGTAGACGTCTCCCCATAGCTATATTAGCCGCTCTAGTCGTGGCCACAATGAGAAACACAGCCATTATGAATGAGCGAGTCTCCACATTCTCCAGAACGCTCCATTACGATCTCTAGCAGAGCTGAGAAATCCCCACAACGATGAAAGAGGGAACACTGAAGAAGTGTTGGTCAAAAATAAAAAAGGCCTCTTTCTTCTTCTCCGCTTGCAAACTTGGGGGCGTTCGTTTTTGATCTACAGGTTTTGGTAGAAACTAATTCTTTCGGTAGAGGTGTTCGTTTTTTCTACTCAAAAGGGTAGAGTCTACTTTCCTCTACCGGCTCTACCAGGAAAAAGTTGGAAGAAGCCGGTAGAAGTTGGTAGAGGTACGGGATTTCCAGCAAGATCAAGGAGCTGTACACAACTATCGATATCTCCCTGGGGTTACCAACTGAAACTGCCTACGCCGACGATGTGGATTTCGTGACTACTGATGGTGAGAGGCTGAGGACCCTCCTTCCAACCATATCCAACAAGCTCCTCGAATGGGATTTGAAAGTGAATGAGACCAAAACAGAGCACACGCACATCGAACGGCACACTGATCGCATCGAGGAGGAGTGGCGAACCACCAAGAAACTCGGGTCCCTATTAGGTGATGCCGAGGATATGCTACGGCGACAGCAACTGGCAACTGTTGCCTTTGGTAAACTCTGGACGCTGTGGATCCGTAGGTCGCTAGTTTCGGAGGATCTCCGCATCCGGCTCTATAATGCCTTTGTACTCCCTGTACTCTGCTACAATTGTGCAACATGGGCACCAACGAAACAGCAGCTGAGCCGTATTGAGGCCTTCCACCGAAAACAGCTGCGGGCGCTAATCGGCATTGTGTTCCCGAATCGGATTAGGAACGAGAGGCTCTATGAGCGTACCGGCGCGGTTCCTCTCGGCATTATCATCTTGAGAGCTAGGTGGAGGCTCTTTGGGCACGTCCTCCGGCTCCCGGCTGACTCCCCACCATCACTGGCCATGGGAGCGTACTTCGCAGAGCCTCGCCCAGCGGGCTGGAGGGGACGACCAAGACACACACTACCAACGCTACTACACAACTCCATACAGAAGAGAAACATTTCATGCACATATCGTGAAAACTACTAAATCCGGTAGAATAGCGTTCGTGCACCTACCTCTACCGTCTACCTCTATCGGTAGAGTTACTCTACTCTACTCGACTCTACTGCACTGCACTGCACTGTACTGCACTGTACTCTACCAGGTAGCTAAAAACGAACACAGCCTTGAAAGTGAAATATATTCGCGATCACACTCGAGTAGAATTTTGCTGTGACGTTTTTGGCGATTTTCTCGATTTGTTGGCAAAACGCTAAGCCACTTTTTAGCGTGGCGCGGCTCATATACTGATACAAGCAATAGGCTCAGTACTCCTACATAGAATTTTACACACTCGTACAGATGACAATCGGAACCAGATCAGACTTACACCAATGTCTACCAAACACCCGGGCTCAAAAAACACACACCGAGTATTTACTCAGTGTGTGTTTTTCGGAGCCCGGGATGAAACATTATTTGTTATGTTCATACACAACAAACAAGTACCGAGAACATACCAGGGGCCTCCTGCAGCTTGATGATTTGCCGATCGGAAAAGTGCGAGCGATTGTGTATCAGCTGCATGCTGTAGTTTGTGCTGCAGTTTCTACACAGGGTCGGCTCAGCAATGCGGCCACGATCAATTTCAACAGTTTGTGTGAACTGGCAGACAACACAGCGGAAGAAGGCTGCATGAGGAATGACAACACATCAACAGAAAACGTCTTGTAAATACATGTTGAAAAATCATTCAAGCTACTCCCGTTAGAAAAACATTTGGCATTTGCTGCTGCAGCAGGGGCAGCAGCAGCAGCACCACCAGCTCTGCGGTTTCTACTCTGCATGCAAAGAACACGACTGTGTTTGCCAAGAGCACCAAAACAAGAAAGAACACTTCGAATGCACACCACCAATACCACTGAACTTTCCATACACACGCGTACCTTCTCGCATTTCAGGAATAGGATTGGATGTCCGGATGACCATTCCGGATACAGTCACTAGCTGATCAATGTCTTCCGGATTTAGCGATCGCATGTGAGTGGTGCGCTCAACACCAAATGGCCGCACCTGGATCTGGTGCGAGAGCTGTGTGTTTGGGTAGTTTTCAAAGAATAGCTGATTAGTGGCCATGTCCAAGATCGGGATGACTTCCTGTGGATAGTGCACCAGCTGACGATACAGTTCATTGTTGAATTGGCGGATGTGTGAGCAATCCACGGTGAGGAAAGGAGTTTCCAGCATGTGAATCTACAATTCCGATAGAAAGAGACATGATAACATCTCCATTGTGCACTGATTACATCAATGGTACTCTAGTCTACACTACACACACCAACAAGTAACCACTACTTCAAAAGTATGCATGGCTCAGCTTTGAGGACACACAGTCAAAACGATCGTTTCAGTTCACCCAAACACACAGACAGAGATACAGTACATGCATATCCACACATGAGTCATTAGTGAAGGACCCACCTCTTCCATCCTCTGCATGTACATTGGCAAGCGGTTGTCAATGAGTGGCTCGTCTTCGTTCTGTACGTCAAACGTCTCCAGGAACTGACGGAAGCGGTCTTTAGTCTCCTGTACACTAACATCTGTTCCCCAGACAACGAGACGCATGGCGGCGTTGGCATCTGTGCCCGTGCTGGCACCAACGTTGCTAGTGAGACCGGATGGTTCTGCTGATGATGTAGGCTCGGGCTGTTGGCACAGCGTTGAGAAAGCACATCAGACAGACACATACACTGTAATGCACCACATATGTTTTCACATCATTCTATCACTGTAGAATTCTACAATGACATACACGTGAGAATTCACACATACAAACAACCATCGTCTGGACACACTTCCAGATCATTTCGCAACAGTAGAACACATCTCGTCACAAAATAACAAGGTCCTGAAAAAAGTGAAAAAAGTGAAATAGTGCTAGATAAAAAGACTCGGGTGGAGAGCCAAGGATAAATTTATAAGAAGAAAAGAGGACCAAAGAGCTACAAGTTACGCTATAATCTCCACTAACACCACCAGTTGCTTTACAATCAGCTCATACCACAACATTGCACGTCACTGACCAACGGTACTGACGTTCTACACCTAACTGGCAATCAGCTCTAGCATGTCTCGGATGCGCACTCCAACAGCCTTCCAGCTTAGAAGGTTCCAAGTTATAGAAATAACATACGGAGGGGAAGGTGCAATGCTATCGCATGAGTGGATCGTAAAGTAACTGGATATTATAGCATAACTTGTAGCTCTTTGGTCCTCTCTTCTTCTTATAGTTACAAATTGTACTTTGTTTGCTACAACCGTAAAACTCAGGTCAAGAGCCCAAGATAAATTTATAAGAAGAAAAGAGGACTAAGGAGCTACAAGTTACGCTATAATATCCACTAACACCACCAGTTACTTTACAATCAGCTCATGCTATAACATTGCACGACACTGACCAACGGTACTGACGTTCTACACCTAACTGGTAACTGGCTCACCTTCCCCTCTGATGTTATTTCTATAACTTAGAACCTTCCAAGCTGGAAGGCTGTTGCAGTGCGCAGCCCAGACGTGCTAGAGGTGATTGGTAGTGGTATGGACATTATATTTACAGCATAACTTGTAGCTCCACGGTCCTCTTTTCTTCTTATGAACAACCGTAAAAGCGTATAACTTAAGCTCAGACCATGCAAGTCAAAGCCAAACAGATAACAGAACAGTCACAGACAGTCTACAGCATCGCCTATTGCCCCTACATGATCACATGATCAGAGTGGCCGTCTACAGCCCCTACATGATCAGAGTCGCCGTCTACAGCCCCTACATGACCAGAGTGGCCGTCTACAGCCCCTACATGACCAGAGTGGCCGTCTACAGCCCCTACATGACCAGAGTGGCCGTCTACAGCCCTTACCTGATCAGAGTGCGCTGCTCCTGGTGTGAGATGTACTTCTCGAAGTCTCCGTGTTCCAATGTCGACACGAGCACGTACCGGTGTGCCAATTCTACAAGTGATGGATACTGCCAGTCAAGGATTCAACAAGACTAGGACTGGCGGCTGTACGCATTCATGCCTTACACAAGGACAACAGCCAGCAGAGTAGAGTCAGCCAATAGGCCGTCGAAGTCTGACGTCACTGCTTCTTGACAACTCGTAGTTACATGGCCAAGTGGTGACAAACAAAAGTCACGTCACCTGCGCATGTCGTGTTTCCAGTGGCAGCAGCACTCAACAGCAGTGAACACAGCATCACTTTGACTGAGGAGCGTGCGAGCGAGAATATTTGCTACAAGAAACTACTAATTGTGGCGGAGTTTGCAGTTTTCGTTTTGAAGAGAAGGAGAAGCTGTAGCTGATTTTTTCCTTAGCCACTGCTGTGCCTGTACTGTCGTTCGGCTTTACATGTAGTCACCGGCCAAGAAAGAATGATGGGTGTCTCAGTAATTTCTATCGCGGCGATCGCTGATTTATTTTGGTTCTGAGACCAACCAACTCTGGGCTCGTTTCCTCGTCCAGCGGCAAGAGAAAATCAGAACTCCCAACTCTCAGGTGCTGGTAAACACTCGGCAAGGAAACACTGCACGATGGCTTCACAGTGAAGGAGAAACTCCTTGAAGACAAGTAACACAAATTTGAACTTGCGATCTTGCACGAGCCCCAGTCAAAGTGGTGCCGTGACCGTTGGAAACACGACAAGTGACTTTTGTTTGTCAGCACTTCGCCAGGTAACTATGTGTAACTACGAGTTTTCAGGCAGCGTGACGTCAGCACTTCGACCGCCTACTGTGGTACTTGCGTATGGTGCCACTGCGCAATGGGTGCAACCTAGGATTTTGCCGGTTACGTGGCCATCTCATCGGCAATCGCATCGCCAAAATTCTTCTGTGAATCCCGCTTGACTCCTTACTTCCCGTGCACTATAGGCATCAAACGCACGTTGATGCTCGAGCGCACAGATCCACGAATAAGTAAGGTGTGCACGTCCGCGTTACAACCGGCTATACAATTGCGTTGAGAAACACAATCAGCTTAGGAAGTTTCGCTCGTGCCAGGCCACCACCATGCCTGTAATAACAGGGTGGCACGAATAGCACACTGGAAATATGTGCTGAAGCGATTCCAATCAACACACCAATGCTAGCCGTACCAACTGCCGGATCTGTTACATGTGACCATTCCCTTTTCCAATCTCTTGTGAAACAGCTTTGTCCCGAACCGGTCAAATACTCAAAGTTACTCTGGACACGAGATGGGTATTCTACACCATGAGTGAGTGTGCTTACGTGTGTGTGTGTGTGTGTGTGTGTGTGTGTCTGTGTGCATAGAAGAGGATGGGGATGGACATTTCAAGGAGTTCTTTGCATACACATGTACAAGTATTTCTTACATACAGTCATGACCAAAGAAATCCCACCCACGAGTCAAAAGCAGCACCGCAGTTGCATTTTAATTACATCATACACAGTTTAAAAAAGCCATCCGAGGGCTGCATAAGCCTTTGCGATGCGTTTGGCTCATGGGTCGGATTTCTTTGACCACACCTGTATTAGTACTAAGTACAGGCACGTATTACATTGAACATACCGGTAAGTATATCGGGTAAGTATAACCATCTACACTGTACATAATTAACCCTTTATGGACCAGTTGAATTAGTGTAGAGAATGCGGCATCCGATTGACTGCTGTAACTCAAGAACAGTTATAATTTGTCATAATCAGTGTTGCCAACCGCCCGTATTTGTCCGTATTTTTACGGGAAAACGAAGTGTTGCCCGCAGTACGGATTTCAATCGAATATCCCGCAAACGATCATGTATATGATCGATTACTAAAACCATCGTAATTCCATCGTTTCTTATGCAAATTCAACAATCGAAGGGTCTACGTGGTAGCAAAAACTCCAAGCTGTCCAATGCAACAATCGCTGAAGCGTTACGATGTCGGACTCCAGAGATATCGTGCGCCGTATTCAGGCATTCTTACCTTGGCGAAATCATATTTTTGATCGAACTTTCGCCATTTTGGGGGGAAATCCCTTTTTGCGTGCTCTTTGAGCGACTGAGCACTTTATAATGATGAAGCCGGCTGAAGTTTGAATCGCCTCGAAAAAATTTGAGCGTTCTGCGATGAAGGAGAGTGGAATGGTGTTGATGGGACGATTTGCTTGCATATTAGGCTTGGAGACGACTTTGCTGTGTTACCGCGCCTGATTTGTGGCAGCTTCATAATGGAGCTTGGCATCCTGGCGTTGCTCCTGCCTAGAGCTTTCCAACGAGCCCTAGATTGTGAAAATCAAGCGAAGTAGACCAAAGTTATGACCTGGTGAAGTTGAAAATTGTACTGAATTCATGCGTAGGCTTTACAAGTGAACTACAAGTAAATCAGTCAAAATGTTGACCTGAAAAACGAGTACGGAAAACTCTGAAAAAATCTGCAAAATGGCACTGGCCAATACCAAGAGTACAAGTGTACTCTTGCCAATACGCATGGGGGTAGAGGGCACTTGCTAACACTGTTATATACAAGTTGTATGCAGATCGGTTTAGATGGACAAACCTTTCATATAAAAAAAGACCGGACCGAATTCGGATTAATAAAAGTTGCCAAAGTAAAGCGTTGAAAGAGTTTTGAGTTCCATTGAGAGCGAATTTTTCGCGAACTTTGCTCATTCGAGCCGCATGCATCTCAGCTGTGGATTTATTGAGAAAAATTGAAGATCGCCAAATGAAATCCCCGCTTGAAGTTTCGATCATAATTATAATGATGATAAGTATCCATTTACTTTTGGAGGATCCTTCAAATAAAGTCTAAATGAAAAATGAATGAAAATGATCGAAGTCGTGCAATTGTCCATGAAGGGTTAATCAAAGTGGAGACAACAGTTTTAAAATAGAAAAAAAGGAACAAATTCCGCCATCATCACCGCACAACACAGAAGTCAAGAAGGTTTCCAAAAACGATTTTCATGTCACATTCATCAGTGACACGAAAATCGTTTTCGGAAACCTTCGTGACTTCTGTGTTGTGCGGTGATGACGACGGAGTTTGTTCTTTTATTGCTATTTTATCAACACTGTACATAATCATTGAAGAATTGAGGATAATCCACACATACACACACAGACATACAGACACACACACGCACACGGAAGCAGACACGCACACGCAAGCAGACGACACACACACACACATACCAGACACACACAACATTTGTGGTGGGAAAAACACGATGTACTAAACTGTACTACTCGATACATGTTGTTGAGACCATAGACATTGTGTAAAGGATACGAGCTACCTAGGCCAGTCATTCTCGTTGAAGCAGGAGTTCCAAACACTTGTGGACTACTCAAATCAATTTCACTCGTGTCGCCAATTCGAGATGACGATTCTACGCCCACCATGGGTGCTGGAAATTGAGCCGCTCCGGCGCCGGATGGCTGCGGAGACTTAGCAGGCACACTGGCATGACTGGCAGGGGATGAGTCTACCGAAGCACAACCAAAAGTACAGTTCTTCACAAAGAGTTCATGGATACAACTATACACTATTCAAATTACAAATCACTCATTTTATCGACACAACACAGTTTCTTTACTGACCTCCCTGGCCTCGAGTCGACCTTCGCCGAGGGGTAGATGCAGGAGAAGACATCTTAGTTATCCTCCTTCCGTCTTTCCAGGGAGGAGACAGACGCCGTAGTTCAAAAATGTCCAACAAGAACGACCGTTGTCCTGCGCCTCAAGCTTTGGAGCTGGATCTTCTCCTGTTTTCGACGAAACGAACGATTCAACTGTTCTGCACTCACGTGGAGTTCACAAAAGCGCGGGAAATGGACTGAACAACACAGAATGCACACGTGCAAGAGTTTGATGTGATTATGAAACGCAATCAGAGTGGTTTTGAGATGATTTATTCAAAGATACAGTCCATCTTTAATTCAAACCCATCTGTTTAGGTATTATTCTGGACGTTTTCTGAACTGTTCGTGTACGTGTGCGACTCGATGGCATGGCAACAAAGAAAATCACGTTTGCGCGTCGGGACTCCATCAATTATTTATTTTTTTCAAAACGGCATGTACTCAGTACGCTACTGCCACATGCAGGAATTTTGCCACAAACATGCAAAGCAACTAGTGGACGACCAAGGCAATTTATTAATAGCGCAAGTCAGAAGAGTACATAATGTAGTGTTTCTGTAACAGCAATAGCTCTTGGAAACAGTTCCATGTACAAGTAGTTTGCGTTCAATGTTCCAGTACTGCAGTGGATTTACAGGACTGGGTTTGTTATCCCTGAAGGAAGGGTAGTGTTATCGGCGATTGGATTAAATTCCTAACTTTATCTCTTCTCGTAAATGTGTGACTTGATTGGCCTGCAAAGAAGCTACCAGGATGCTATCTAATAAAGAAGTAGACATGCGTCGATCTTCTGAAGATTTCATTGTAGAATTAGACAGCAAGTTGCGCTGTGGTCGGCTAGGTTCGCAATGTGAAGCAATTGTCGGCTTGCCAGCGATCTTCGACTCTCATCCATTTCCCACACTTGTCAATGCAGTTTTTTTGAAGATGGCAGAGTTCTTTCGCACTGGAAGCAACTTCCTGCGACTGTGCATGGTCAAGGTCACCGAGTTATGTTGTCACCACCTGAGCAAGATCCACAGTGCGGACGAAGTTGTACGGCGATTCTCCGCCACACTGCACAGTAATGACCCGTTTGCTCGGGCCCTGGCATTGCGTGAACTTGGTGTGCTAGCTCTGTTGACTGCTGAGCAGGTCACTGTACAACAAAGCGTCCGACAAGCACTAGAAGCACATGAGAAAGTAGAGGTAGATGCCGCCATCTTTGCTGCTCGTTGCTTGTCAGCATACAATGCCGAGTTTGCCGGTAGTCTTGTGGAAAAGCTCCACAGTAGCATCAATGGCATTTCAGTTTCACCAGATATGCAACTGAACTTGCTTCCTACGCTACAGTATGTACGCACCCAGCGCGAGGCTGAAGAGGCAAAGGCCATGTGTGTTCAGCTTCTCACGCAACAATCTGGCAAAGCACAGGCAATCGCTGCTGTCCGCGCTTTGTCACGATTGGCGTGTGCATACATTGTGCATATCAGTGATCATGTCTCCATCCTGCTCAGTGTGCTGGAGCACGATGCCAGGCAGCAAGTTTGCCTTGCTGTTTTCTCTGCGTTGGATGCCATGGCGTGCCAAGCAGCACATCTCTGGCAACCTGTTCATATTAAGGCTCTGTGGGAATACCTAAGCCGCTCGTCCTCCACTTGCCTATCGGGTGCAGCACTGATTGTGTTGAACTCCTTGGCATGGAGTGTTGTCGGTGACAGTGTTCTTGATACTGAAACGTATCCAATCTGCCAAGGTCTGTGCTGCAGTATTGATTGCACATTGGCGTCATTGGCTTGCGGTGTTACCACCGGTGTAGCACTCGCCCTTGCGAAAGCAAGTCCAGGTGGCAAAGCATCGGAGTGGGTGATGGACGCTGTTTGCGCTGTCCAAACCACTCTGACTGTGGTGAGTGTGATGCAAAGCGATGATCAACAGCAGTATGTACGAGGCATACAACTCGTACTTACCTGCTCTGTTAAGCTTGCCAAATCCTATCCATCGTACAGCGGTGATCTGTTGACTACACTCGTCAGCTGCTTTGAGTCATTACAGCGTGATTGGATCCTGCTGTTCTGCCGTGGTGCCCAACGTATCGTGTCCGTCAGTCCAGCCAAAACTGTGCAGGATATCATACCACCAGTTGTTCCCTTACTTGTTGAACTGGCGGTAGGTAACATTAGCTGTGCCGGTGGCAACGATATTGCCGTTGCTGTTGCAGATCTCCTACTCTGCTGCGGCAATGTGGACAACACGGCCATGGAACGCATTCTCTCACTCCTCGAGTCAAAGCATTTGTCATGGCCTCTGTTCTGTGTGGCAAGGTGTGCAGCGCAGCGTGGAGCCTTTGAACTAGCCAGTCGTCTTTTCAGTAGGCTGTCCACTGTTGTCTGTGACGAGCAACATGTCCGCTGGTTGTCTGGGCTGGCCAATCTATGCAAAGCGGAAGCTGGTCTTTCTTCTGTGTGCAAGAATCCCAACCAGTTGCTGGAAACTCTATCTCAATCCAACCGCTTCCTCTATGAAGCTGCTGTGCACTTTAGCATTGCGAAGGGCAGCAATGGGAGATCAGGAGCGGAACGGATCGAGTTTGTCAGGCAGTACTGTCATCTACGCTCCGAGATGATGATGGGCATACAGCAGGCACTAACCTGTGCCAACAGCATGAGGATGGCAGGATCCAGCAAGGATGGTATTTGTGGTGAAATGGAGCGCTGCGTTGCCAGCTTGCGCATGGTCTCCAGTGGCTTTTCGGACCTATATCGCTCAGCGTTCAATGCCGACCCGCAGTCGTTGGTGTGTCTACGTGCTGCAGCGCGTCTTTGTGACTTCCTGGTAGACTGTTGTAGCGTGCTGTATTTGGATACTGAGCTACGACGTGTACAGTCATGTGTAATGGATGACAGGATTGACGATTTGCGCAGTGCACTCCTCCAGAAGCTGTCTGTCTCCCCGCGCGTCCTTTCCCAAGAGGATTGCTTTGCCACAATGCGCGACGTGTTAGTACAATTGATGTCCGCATCTGTCCAGCTCCCGCCATTTGTCTTCAATGACTGCCAAGGAACTCGCATCCAGGTGGCTATCTGGCCAGCTCCAAAGGGCCAAGGGCAAGCAGAACATATTGCCCTCACGGCAAGGACTCATCTGGCCTTGAGAGTGGAAGGTGCTCTGCACCAGGAGGGCTCATCTGTCTACCGGCACGTTGATATGGTTCACATTCGTGTTTCATCTCTACACCAGTCCACTGTGGAATCATCCAAATCGCTGTCACAAGCGCAGCCTGTTTCGACGTCGACTGCACCTCTGGTGAAGAGCTTGAAGCCACAGGGCGGCGCTTTCTCATCAGAGTTTGTTCTGCACTTGGTGCCGGATGTGAACGCTGTGCACGACGTTCAGATCGAAGTGTCAGTCAGCGACCGCGATGGGGCCGTGTGGACTACGGGTCCGTCAAAGAGTTTGCGAGTAAAGATTGATGATCTAGCACCTGCTCAAGCAATACGTGAGGCACAGTGATGAGTTTCAGCAATTGAACTGAGTAAGGAGGAATAATCGTATGTGTGTACAAACAACAAGACACGCTCCTTGTCCACATTTGAGTCTTTTTTTCTTGACGTATACAGTCTTTGCATGAGCGTGGTCTGTCTGTAGACCTTGCCTTGCCTTCTAGGTTACCTGCTATATGTATGGCTAAATGTTTCTCCCGCCGCACCTGCTACCCGCTTTTTTATTTTTTTTATTCTGCGAATATTTCTCTAGAAATACGTGTTCATGTGCTGGTTGCATGCAGCATTGGTCTTTTGTTCACAGTGGTTTTACTCTTGCCCTTGTAATTACACTTTTGTTAAGCATGTAGAAGCTTCTGGACAAGTTTTGTAATGGCTGCATGCACTATTCTAAATGGATCGAGTATTGCAGCGCCATGCAGCCTGGAAGTGGAAGCCCATACAAGATCCATAACTACTTATACTACATTACTACATTACTACATTACTACATTACTACATTACTACATTACTACATTACTACATCACTACATCACTACATCACTACATCACTACATTACTACATTACTACATTACTACATTACTACATTGTCACTGTTAGTGTGACCATCATGGTCACTCCCTGCTTTGTTTTTGGATCATCCTATGCTCTGAACTCACCATGCAGGATCATGGATGGAAATGAAGACCATGCAGGATCATGGATGGAAATGAAGACCATGCAGGATCATGGATGGAAATGAAGTTATAGACGCTAGCAAGAGTACTGTACTCTTGACGCTAGGTGTTGAGGTTGACGCACGGTTGTCAGATTGTAAGTTTCCTCCACATGTTTGAAAGTGAAAGCATGTAGCTGCACTAAATTAACTAGGTGCGAAACTTTTATACTGGATATTACTTGAGCAAATGAGGTATATAGGCGATGGCGATCGTTGACAACTCAACTCTTGCCACGGTTTTACCCCTAACGGTTAACTGCTAAGCTAACGGTCGGTTAACCGGTTATAACCTATAAGCCACGGCAATCCTGCGGACTCTTTTTTAACCGTATATTTGACTATACTCATTCAAAAAATGTACCCTATTCAGTACAACGCACACTTGTACATTCTCTTGCATGCTCATTCATACATACTCTCACACCAAGAGACCAGATATGACCGAGTTGACAGCCCAGAAATTGCGTACGCGTGCGACAGCCTGCGAAAGTGCATACTTTGCAACGACCTGATACTTGAAAAATTGACTGAAAAGTTACTGCGTAACCGTTATCTTTATCGGTTAACCGTTAATTCTTCGTAACCGGTCTACAGTCCATTCAGAAAAAGATGAACTTCTAGCTTTTGGCCATAAATGGGTCAAACTTTGAGTTTTTTTAGAATTTTTTCTGCAATCCCCTATGGAATCCTCTTCCAATTATGTTTCTGAAGTCTATTTGTCCAAAAAGCAAGCCATAACAAGAATAGGATATCGGCCAGGTTTTGCCCCAGAGCATTGAATTGGAAAAAACCATCAAAATCCAGGCCGTTTGACCCTGCCTGCAACAGTGCATTGTGGGGTTCGAACCCCAGTTCAGGTACCCTTTTTGGACTCTTTTTCAAAGTTCAAATTTCGCAGCACTGCACTGTGTACAATGAAATCACGAAAAATCGCCAAATACGGGAGCTCGCCAGAGCCAGAGCCCATCTTTTTCCGAATGGACTGTAGGTAAAACCGTGACCGTTTGAGCCCTAATTATCATGCTAGCTGCTCATGTATGGTGCGTGTACTTCAAGCTGCTACTTTGAAGTATCACCCGGGGGGGGGGGGGGGGGGGGGTACCCGCGCATTGTTACGTAACACGTCGTTGCACGCCCTGCATCACGTGATTACGTCACGTCTCTATTGGAGGCATGCATGCATGCGTATTCTTGATTCATGTGGTTCTTCTCTCTCTTCTTCCTGACTTGAGGTTGAGAATTGAGAATGTAATAATTAGTTGTAAGTCTTGTCACCAAACTAGTTCCTGTTGTCTAGTGGTGTGTAATACAACTATAAGAACATAACATCTGTTTTTTTTGTCTCTCATCCTTCTGATGGACTCGCTGACAATGTTTGACTGCATCGAGTCACACATCCGCTGGGTAAAACTTGCAAAACACACACACACACACACACACACACACACACACACACACACACACACACACACACACACACACCTGACCTTTGACGCCCATCGCCGGAGGCGATGATAGCAATGCTACGGCAGAAGCCATAGCAACTTGTGCTGGGAACACACACACACACACACACACACACACACACACACACACACACACACACACACACACACACACACACACACACACACACACAACGAAGCAGGGAGTAGCAAAATACCGATATTTTACTACTCTTGCGACGAAGCACCTCATCCCCTGATGCAATCATGGTGACAAAATGGCAGCTTGATGTCCTAACCTTGATAAATAAGGCATACCTATGCGAGGAGTGCTGTGAGGAGTAAATACTGTGACGATGGACAATCGCTGATCAGGGCCAAATAGTTTACTTGCAAGTAGTTGGAAAACCAGCCAACTCAGTGGATAATCATAATGGAGTGAGAGACGGGAGTGACTGCCACTCTCTGCCAGTGGTGGCAGTCCGTGCGCCAAATTCAAAAAAGTCGTCTAGAAGTTGCACTTTTATTTGCAACCGCGGGAAATTTGAGAGGTCTGGAGAAGAAAATTCTCAATGGGACTCAAAATTGACAAACAAGACGACGACCAGCGCTCGAGCATAGTACCTTTTCGCCATTCCTTCGTGCACGATACCGATTCTAATTGATAAACACTACCCTCATGTTTCGTTTCATGCGCAACGGACGAAGCGAAGTGTCTTTTTTCGTCCACGAAAGAAAGGTAAGGAAATTGTCGTCTTCGCGACACCCTTCGGATTATTTAGTGGGGCATTGTGGGCCAAGGGTATTTTTTCTTTTTCTTTACAACTGTCCCCAGGTACTGAGACGGCGCTGATATCCTAGGAGTTCTGTTGGTGCAAAATGCCAGGTTACTGACTTATGGCGATGTTTGTCCACCCAAAAATATGGGAGATTTCTTGGATAACATACACACATAATACACACATAATACAGTGAATGGTATTGCAGTGGGCATCCAAAACAGTTGAACCAAACCAATATGGTATGATACCTAGAGGCTAGGCACACAAAAATCACTCAGGAATTGGACGCAAGTCCCGGGGCCTTGGTGCGTCATTACACCCGGACATTGAATGTTTGCCGGCGCACGGCTTTTGCTTCACCACTTCACACAAGTTTACGCACTCACTCAATTCGAAAGACTGGAACGAGACCAAACCGAATGTGACAGCTAAGAGCAAGTTGTGCATTTGTTGGAACAACGTTCGGGCATTGCGAGAAGGATATCAGCAGGGTCCAACAATGGCAGCAACAGCACCAGGTGATGATGGAGTACCAAGGAGCTTGTTTCATGCACATTACAGTGAGCAACAAGAGAAACCGTACTGTGGTACGTGAGATCAGAGCCTGGGCAGGATGATCGACAATGTACACTGTGCTACAGCGCCTCAATTGTGCGAGAGAAAACAAACAGACCAGCAAGCACAGATCATGAACTGGTACACAACATTGACAAAGCACAAACCGCACAGCAAAGTTACAGGGCATAGCCGAGCGTTTTGTTGCCAATGAATTGCTTGAGAAGGGAGCAGTATTCCTTGTAACATTGCATGGAGTATACGAGAACGCAGAGTCAGAACCAGGCGTAACAAGGCAAGACGGCTACTGTACAGTGGACAGGCTTGACGATCACTTGCATACTCGCAATTTTGGTGCAACCAGGAAATTAGGCATCACGTCATACCGAAGTGGCTTCGACACGCAACATTGCATTCATAGCTGTACGGTGAACCTGTTACACGAGCTTCTGTGAAACAGATAGCATGCCAATGACCTGCAAGCACCAACAAACGCAGCCGGTAAAACAAACGCTACATAACTGCCCAACATAAACTTGTACATGCTGATGAGAAGCAAGAATGCGCTTGATGTTGGAAGTTATGCTCGCATATTCAAAACATGCATGGAAAAACATCAATGACATTGTTCACGAATACAACAGATACATCATACAGGGAGAGTAAGTAATCCTTCCTCCGTGTTGTATACGCGCACGCGCGCGTGTGGTAGATAAATCCGTTTGGCATGACTTTCGATCGAGGTTGCGTTCACCGTAGAGATAGGTGAACTCGAAGCCAACACCTCTCACTTTCGCTCTACTGCCCCTTTGGGGCCGATGCGATCCTTGTGCCAAGTTGTGGTAGTGGCTCAACAGGACAGGTGTGTGTGTGTGTGTGCGCGTGCGCGCGCATGTGTGTGTGTGTACGTGTGTAAGTGTGGTTTCTGAACTTTTCTCACAATCGTATAAGTTTCATTTTTTCGTGAAAACCCAGCTACACTGTGACCGGTACAATCGCATGTCGTTTATCTGGCGGTCAGTCACATGGCATGTCGGGTATCCAACAGCACCGCACTGACAGCTTATAGACCTTATATTCAGTATTTATAGTCCTACTTCAAGTAAATGTAGACAGTCAGCATCATGAAAGTTGCCATTACGTTGAGTTAAATACAAGCCAGTCTCTAGAGATGAGCACGACTGTCTCAGGGTAATACTAGTGATAAACACAGGTACTTCGAAGTACTGTCTTTTTGATCTGTTAACACAAAATGGCTTTGTAGCTTCAGTCGTCCAGAATATTCATTTTATTCCGCGGGTGCCGCATAATTGACACGCAACTGTACTTGTGCAAGTCTCCAAACGCTACGTAATTGGCCGACATTAACTTGTCCACGGTGATGAGAAACACGGCTCCTAATTTTTAAATCATGAAAGGATTACATACGCAGGTACATCCACACAATGTGCACTATCCTGAAGTCGTGCGCAAATATTCAAAATCATTCACCGAACACAGAGAGGCGCACATACCGTAAAGTACCGCGAGAGCGCCCCACCTATATTTTGCCGCGACAGATTTTACAGCCAGGGAAAGGAAAATCGTATGGCAGAGAGCAACGAAGTTCGTACGGTGTGAGCAACTTAGTGTACTAAGGTCACACTAAGCAGGTTTTTGTGTGGAGCTCGTTTCCGCTCGAAGGTACGGATTGTCTGCAGAGCGTGCAATATGTGTACAAAGTTTGTGTCGTATAACCTACAGACAGGAGACCACCTCCACAATACGACCCCGAAAGGACGAGATGGTGGGGCACTCTGGCGGTACTTTACGGTACATGTAAATACGAAGGAACCACATGCGCAGCAAGGAGATTAGTCATTACTTTACTTATGAGTTGATGGATAGAAGTTTCCTTTCAGCTGACCATTACCACTCATGAAAGCAATAGTGAGTGCTGTTGTTCTGATTCACAGGTATATATTCGGCCCTTAGCGCAATGTGTTTTCGAAGCTAGGCACACGATTTGCATGAGGAAATCATGCAAAGATGTGACATAAGGCCCTACAAACACGACCTAGGTAAAGGGATGCCATTATTTGCATTTGCAGTACTTTGGCATAGGATAATTTGTGGATGATTGTGTTGATCAATTTCACATAATTTCACGACAGGTCATAGTTTATTTAGTGGGGCGTTGTGGGCCAAGGATCTACGACCATCTCTTTTGCATTTCGAACAAGTAGACACTTTCAACAATTCATACAAAAAATGCCTTCAGTGCAAAACATACCGTTCGGACACACCAGGCAGTCCTTTCCAGCCTTGATTTTCAAGTGCAGACGTATCCACGATGACCTTCGAGTGAACTGCGGCTTGGAACACTTTGAATACGAACCACACACTCAAACTAACTAGACCACCGCATAGCTAGTGTATTCACGGAGCCAAAGAAGTCTCCTTTTGCCCCCACAGGGTCTTGGTTAGTTCTCTAGAAGGGACGAGAGCCATACCTAAATTCAATAAATTCTCCAATTCCAAAGGCCTCAAATGAAGGCGTCTTGGTGACTTCGTTTCCCGCGGTTGCAAATAAAATCAGCCCTTGAGTACCCCTTGGCGTACGGACTGGTGGTAGCGATTATAGTAGCTCCCAATGACATCATCATTATCATCATCATCTTCTTCTTCTATTAGGACTGTATTGTACGGTTTAATAGAGGCTGGAAATACATGTAATAAAAAATAATCCAAAGGAGCATCCAAGGGAGTGCATTTGCGAATGGAGCGGGCTTGGGCATGGGGGAATGGAGCGGTACTTATACTGTTTTGCATGTACATGATTACATGTACTTAGTACTCTGTAGATGATCATGAACAGCTTTGCAGCATTACAACCGCACACAAGCTGATAAAAAGTGATGGTGGCGAGGTTAAAGAAGTTAGTAGAAGAACACAAGATATACATGCGCGCACAGTTTAGCTGTCCAGTGCTAGGTGAAATTCAGAGGAAGTGGGGACGCGGAAAGGGGCTTAGTCGGAGACTGGCGATGATTCAGAGGAAGCGGAGAGGAGGAAAGGGGCTTCGTTGGAGATTGGCGGAGCGACTTGAAAGAATGGCGGCGCTTAGGAGGAGAACAAGCGGGAGACTGCAACAGGGCTTTAAGTGACTGTTGACACTGCGGTGAGTTGTCCAGGGATTGCGAATGTGTGGACTCAGTAAAGGACTCGTCACTGTTCAAACACAAGCAATGTATAGGGAAAAAAGAGAGAAGAAGAAACAGGATGAAAACTACTACCGGAAATCAAAATCATATTTTCTTTGTCTAATTAATTATACTGAAGTGTACGACATTTATCGACAGTGTCAATGCCGCCGACATTACCACGCAACATGTGGACTATTACTTGTTTGGAGTTAAGGTAAGGTGTATTATTCCAGAATCGATTGCATTCACAGTAGCACCTGAATGTGAAATGTAGAACTACTCGGGTATGTTGTAACAGTAAAACCTTAGATTCATTCGATGCTTGACTTACTACTGTTTACAGCTGTAATTGAACTTTCGTCTCCGTATAGATTATTTGAAATGAAATTTTGTAAGGCTCCCAACATTTATGAAACTAAAGCGCATACTAAAATGTGCCACATTCACTGTACAGTACTGCATGCAAGTACAGTAAAACCTGTACTTGCCTGTACTTGCCGCACCCCGTACCAAGCGCAATCCTGCATTGACCGGACACATGTTCATGCACCCAAGTGCTGTGGATCGAACGTGCATCCCTGGATCAAGCAGAATCCTGTCATACCAAGACAGTTTGCGCTGCACCAAGGGCTGGTTTTACTGTACATAGTAGCCGGCGGCGATTGACGGCACTTAAAAGTTAGATGACAATGAAAAGTTCTTTTCCTCAGCTTACGAATAATTTATTATTTACTTTATTATGACATAATAATAATAATACTGGTACAGGGTTCTAGCCATTAAAAAAAGTGTGTGTGTGGGGGGGGGGGGGGGGCAGTGAAACAAACACTTTGCCCATATCCCCCATGTTCCACTATTGCCTTGTCACACGGAATGCAACGTACGGGCGCAGAAAGCAACCGGAACGATCAACTTGTTGCAGCGTTATGTGACCTAAATAAACACAATAATCGAAAAATAAGTAGCGGGCGCTGTCCCCTCCCCCCCCCCCCCCCCCATAACTGATTTACAGAGCTACCTTGGCTAGATGAGGCAAGGTTTTGAACCCTTACTGGCCTTAGACATAAACAACAACTTAGGCTCGAGAAATGAAGATACTTGCCCCTAGCCCAATGCCCGTCGTACTCTCATTCCAGTAAAGCTACACTCACAAGACAGCGCATTCATCAAGTATACTACTGCTGCTCGGGTTCAATGGATAGTGTACCTGGGTGCAGTGTAATGTTCATGTCTCAATTGGAATGTCACGCAGATTCCCAGAGTATGGCAAGTGAGCTACACAGTCTGCCAGGTGTCACTTCGCACTGCAACAGTATTATCAGGTTTGTTCACCGGCAGCTTACCTCAGTCCTAACTGCTCAGCCAAGAGGAGCTTTTCATGGCACAGCTGATACTGGTTATCGGCAAGCTTCAGGTGTAGTTCAAGCTGAGATATTCGACCTTTACAGGGAAAGGCAACAACAACAACAACAGCAACAGCACCAACAGCAGCACCAGCAACAGCAACAGCAGCAGCAGCAGCAGCACGACCACCACCACCAACAACAACAAGAAAAAGCCGGGGTAAGGTGATACAACGAGTTGTACTCACTGAATAGAAGCCCTAGGAATTCCTGTATGAAGAAGTCATACAGCATGATGCAGACCCTATAGGGTAGAAGCCCTGTTCACATACTGTACCAACATTACTTGCACAGTTGATATTATAGTGACTGGAATGCAGATAAAAAGGTATTGAAATGAGAAAATAATCTCTTGAATTTTAGAGCCAGGTGGCTCACTCGGTGTCCGTGGAACCTCCTCTGTAGCCGCTCTCTGGTGAGCAGTTCAGCCTCCAGTCTGCTTCCTTAGAGGACAATGCTCGCCTCGACATCGCTACCAGAGGGCTTTGGGGTGGCCGGTTTGAACGCACAATGTTTGATATACGGGTTTTCAACCCCTATGCTGCTTCGAATCGCGCTGCCTCAACCCCCGCTGTGTATGCCCGCCATTAACGCGAGAAGAGGAGAAGGTATGAGGAGAGAACTCGGGAAGTCAAGAGGGCCTCCTTCGTGCCAGTAGTCATGTCGGCCAGTGGCGGTGTTGGGAAAGCTGCAACTGCATTGTACAAGCGCCTGGCTGCTCTCATCTCGGAAAAGAGAAAAGAGCAGTTTTCCGCCACCATGGCTTGGATCAGCACTCGGCTGTGCTTTGCTCTGGTAAGGTCCAGGATCATGTGTTTGCTTGGTGCCAGGTCCTCTAAGTCCCGCTACCTCCAGCGAGGTCCAGTTGTGGTCGTCGTTGCGGAGGCACGCCTGCGGCATGAGCCCTCTGACTAGCTTTATAAAATACAAAATAATTTTGAAAGATGCTTGGACTGAGTTTCACTTGTTTTATCAGTATAATTACTATACAATGTGGAGCAACTTGCCTCAGACAGAACGCACTGGCTTGACGTTGTCGACAGATGCATGACCCTCATTTGATTTTTCATATGAGCTATATGCGTGCTGTATTAGTATTATGTAGTTACTTCACAGTACTGTGCATGTTAGCTACATATTATAAATCATAATAACTTTTTTTTTTTGCCCGTACAAGAGGCTGATTTATACAGGCGGAAAAAATCACATTCAGTCATACAAGAAGAGAACTGTAGGATATTGCACACAACAGTCAGCTAGTCCATCACATTCAGTCATACATGAAGAGTACTGTAGGATATTGGCATCCGATTTGTACAATTCGTTTTGCAAAGTTTCCCATACCGTGTTTGTCTTCAATAATTCTGACCCACCAATTCGGGTGGTGTGCAGCTTTGCTACTTCAAATTGTTGTGAGACCGCTTAGTCAAGTATCTTACTGCTCTCATCATTGTCCAGTAACAGTCAACACTCCTTGTTACCTTGGGACTTGGCTCCTACTCGTTTTCGTAGCGCTCACTTTCCCCTCTTTGGTCTCTCCCTAACTATGAACCTTCCATCTACAGTGCTGCCAAATAATTTTCGCCCAAAATCGGACACCCTTCACCGTCAAGGCTGGCCACATGGTGCGAATTTTTCTCCTCGGCAATTTTTTTACAGAGAATTCAAAATATCGCCTAAAACACCATGGTAACCCCGGAGTTATCATGAATTTTGTAATGATGAGTGTGGTCGCACACTGTACAGACTGTCAGTGTACATCGCGTGTACATGCCATCCAGCCTGATCCAGGCATGTTACTTTGCACTTCCACAGCCAAGCGCTAGCCTTTTTAGAAGCAAATGTACAGTGATTTGTGCCTTCAGTTGCGCTGAAAAGTGAAAGTACAGGACTTCTGCATATGAAAGTAATGATCTCCGACATTTTGGCTGTTTTTCGGACGTTCCCTTTTCGGACCGGTTTTCGGAAGAGCCTTCGAAAATCGGACACTGTCCGAAAAATCGGACGGTTTGGCAGCACTGCATCTATAGGTCACATGATGTCGGCCATGTTGGTTCCACTGTCCACATGACCTGATCACTTTCTATATAAACTTAGTCACGTGACAAACTGATGTGAAACCACTCCATAATTAAAACCCTGGCTGATGTTTTTGCCTTCTTAAGGCCGATACATCTTCCTGCGACGCGACATGCGACTTGCAACACCTGCGACGAGCTGCGACAGCGACACACGGTTCACAATCTTTTCTTGTTTGCGACATCCGTATGCACTAGTAGTACTGTGCACTGGACGTGCACCCAGGGTAGAAACTGTACTCCATTTGTGTATGTCGCGCGTCGCATGTCGCAAAAGTGGAACTTTCTTCAACTTCTGCGACAGGTGCCTAGCGACTGCACGCGACAGGCAGTTTATTGTCGCAACTGTCGCCAATCGCATGTCGCGTCGCAGAAAGTTGTATTGTAAATCGGCCTCTAGGGGTCGTCCATAAGTATCGAACTTTTTTCACAAAACAAAGTATTTTCGTTATGGGGTTGGCCAATTTCGTTTCAGAAAACTTCGATGCATGTACATGGCCGCAGGAGCAGTGACACATTTGCGACTTTTGTTGTATATGCATGTATAATTATTTAGGAAACTTCACTTCTCATCTCTAAAAACGGTCTCTTCACTGAATTCATTATCCTGATGATGGGCCAGGTCCGAAAATTTGGTGTAATGTAAATCTTATAGTCCATCAGCCAGTGGTGCCAAAGTGAGCCCCCTGTTGCACTTCCAAATCGAACACCTGGAACTGACATCAATCGACAGCAAAAGTATCACTGAATCCGACCTGCCTACTTTCCCTGGCGAAACTCTTGCACTCCTTTTGCAGTGCGCCTTGGAAGTTCGACAAATTTCTTCTTCTTCGTCAGCCATTTCGTGGTTTTCCATCCGTTTTATTAGGATATCCAATGCGTCTTCAGCAAAAAACGTGGAGTTTTGTCAACGTTTGGTGTGGGTTTCCGTGGCGATCGACCTAAAATCGCGAAATAAATCGCCGTCAATTTGAGCAGAGGTGAGTTGGCTTGGAGCACGTACAGATTCAAATAATATGCGTACATGCGCACCGGGAAGAAGATGAAAATGCTCGCCATTTTCAAATAACTAATTCAAAAAACTACATGACCATTGTATACTGCAATTGCTGTAGTAACTTGTTTGCAAGTACAATAGTATCAATACTGAATCTCAACGTTGCAACTAGATAGTAGTACAACTGTAACTGTACTACTACCTGGTTGCAACAAGCTCAAAGCAGCCTTGCCTTTATTTCAACTGTTTGCTGTCAGCATCCAAAGCCATGGCGTTTGCTAGTTGGTCGTAGTGGAGAAGAGAACTGCAAGGCACTCACTCGATGTACAACATCCATCGCCGCAGATTCCTTACTTTTAGCTCTCCACGTTCCTTATTTTTCCAGGGATCAGGACCTTCCATTCCATTCAGGGTGGAAGCGTAGATCACTTTTGCAAAACAGTAAAAACTATGCTTCAAACCTGCTTGACATGACTCGGGGTGCATACTTCGGAAACCCGAAGGTGGATGATGTTCAATACTAGCTCATTGTAATCTTCCTGAAGGTACGTATTCGGATGCTCAATTAAATAGAACAGTGAAAGAGATGTGTAATGGAACAACACTCTACAAGCAGGCGAACAACAATTTTATTGTAATTTGAATCCAGGCACACGTATAATACGGAAACTGCAATGGTTTACACTGCAAATCTTCTCGATTTGCAAGATTTTTCCCGTAATTCACAAAAATCTGAAAGTTCATTCCTGAAACGAGCATGGCACTGATTGGAGATTGGGTTTAGGTCACAACAATGGCTGTCTTTGAAATGCCAAAAAGGTCACTTTGTCGGCTTTCTCCTGCAGAGCGCGCAAGTCGTTTACTCTTTTTATTTGCGGATTCGGTGTGCAGGGTACCTAAACTCCCCATTGAGGTCAAAATCAAGTATTCGATTTCTAAGTGCAACAGGGTGCTTGAATTTGACGACTTCTGAGTTCTTGGCTGATGGACTATTAATTTTATTTTGAATCGCAGTGAAGAGACCTTTTTTGGAGTTAAAAGTGGCTGTGTTGGAGTTTGCGGACAATTAGAAAAAATGTATAATTATTAACTGATTTTGAGGGAAAGAGACAAACGGGAAAAGTCTGAAGAAAAAATTGACTGTCACCACCAGGACTCGAACCAATTATGTCAACATTTTTTACATTCTGAGGGGGAGGGAGGGAGGGGTTGGGTTGAAATAAAATTAATTCGTTTCGCGTTAACATTTCGATATTTACAGACGGCCCCTAGCCCTTGGAATATTTCGCAGTGTCAAGACCTTTTGATGGGAGGTTACAAGACTGTACAGGCCTAGTGCGGAGACGCACATCATGTATTCCTGAATGTCTAGTAAGTCCTTACCTTGCAGCTCTGCAGTGACCTGCTTGTAAACACGTAGTTCCAGCAAGCAGTAACCTGCACAGCATATGGCATGTCGAAACAAAGACAAGAAATTTAGCAGAGGCTAAAGATCACCTCTTCATTACTTCACAAGTGACATCATTCGATCATGGCAACAGTGATCCAGTAAGCCCATGGATGTACATGTAGTTGTACAGTTGAGAGATGGGTAAGTCTGTACAACATGCATGTCATGCAGTCAACATTGCCTGCTTGCCACGTGTGGATCAAGAGCTGCCAGGTGAGATGACATGCACTGCAGGTCTCTTGCAAAGACCTCGATGGATAAAACAAGAAAGCTGCCAGCTCAGGGCCCTCGCTATGCTTGCTCTTTACCTAGGTCATCATACAAACAACTCACTTTGCTGTAAATTCACACCTATGCCTCCGCATAGCATTTCGCTCAAATGATACACAGAGGTGCCAAATTTCCCGATCGGACGGGAGGTCTCCCATTTTGTTGATGTTTAAAAAAAATCTCCCTATCTCCAGAATTGAAAATCTCCCTACTCAGCATGGATTTGCGGCAAGTATTCTAACCAAGCATGTACAGTGGTACACTCGTTGGTGTGACCGGCACTCTTTTCATAGGCATGGCCAAACGTGCTTACATAGCATACCCGTTTTACCAGGGAGTCCTAAAAACCAGGGAGTACTCCCTGATGTCTACCCCTACATTTTCACGGCACAGTTGATGTTAGGCGACCTCCCTGCTGGCAGCCCAACCGGGAGGGAGATCTCCCTACCACAGGCTAATTGAAGTTGGCAGGTCAGGATACGACTGAAAACTCACCCAGAGCCACACTACTACCTATTCTAAAGAAAGATGTTGCAGTTCAAACACAACATAGGTATACATTCTTCAACCCAGTACATGTACCAGGCCGAGGGTACTGCCAGTCGCAAGACGCTACATGCCAGTAGTGTTCAGGACCACACCGACGGCCATGTTTGTCCTATCACACATTGCACATGCTAACACTGAACACTGAACACTGACTTGGCAAACAAATAGCTGCTTCAGTTGTTTCGCCAAATTGGACAACTACAGCTAACAAGATGCACTTCACCACTGCCTCAACTACTGTAAGTCTACAAATTTCCGGTCCATTCAAATTTCGGCCTCCCAGGGCTAAAAGCTGAAAACCCATTTCGGCCTCCCAGGGCTAAAAGCTGAAAACCGATTTCGGCCTCATTATATTTTCGGCGTGTACTGCTGCTGCCTGTATACACTGTCACACTGAACATTGAAAAAAACAAAAATTCGGCTGCAACAACTTTTTGGCCAAACATGACCAGGCCGAAAATAGCGGAAAAAATACACGCCGAATATTTGTTGACTTACAGTAGGTAGGTGAGCTGAGAGTGTCCCCTTTCAATACAAAAAGTGGAAAGTGGGCTGAGAGTGTCCCCTTTCAATACAAAAAGTGGAAAGTGGGCCAACTTTAAGACTGAGAGTGTCCCCTTTCAATACAAAAAGTGGAAAGTGGGCCAACTTTAAGACTGAGAGTGTCCCCTTTCAATACAAAAAGCGGGCCAACTTTAAGACTGAGAGTGTCCCCATTCAATACAAAAAGTGAAAAGTGGGCCAACTTTAAGCAGAGCGGAATTTTCAGTTACTAGTACTCTAATTTCAGAAATGTTAGGTGCTCAATATTTTCAATATTTTCGGTATGAGGGAAAAAGGCCAGGTTAGGCGAGCAGAAACTTTAGGTGCAGAGAAGCAGTTCTCGATAGGATTATGTGCGTTAGTGTTTGTTCGGTGCATTGAAATTTTAGGTACGAAACAGATGCACCGAAAGTACCAAAAATAAAAGTACACCGACAATTTGTGAAATTACAGTATACAAAACTGGCCTTACCCAGTCGCATTCTGCAATAAGTAAGCTGACGATACACCTTTTGCGACTACAAGCAGAAAGAAAAGCATAAACAGTGGCGAAATAGGAAACTGTGAAGTGAAGCTATTTCTCATGGATTATCACCATGCCACCACACTAAACAGCATGCACACACACACACACACACACACACACACACACACACACACACACACACACACACACACACACATACACATACACGCACACACACACACATACACGCACACACACACCCGCATACACACACACATGCACACACACACACACACACACACACACACACACACACACACACACACACACACACACACACACACACACACACACACACACACACACACACACACACACACACACACACACACACACACACACACACACACACACACACACACACACACACACACACACACACACACACACACACATGCACACACAGAGCATGATGTGAATTGGGCAGCAGCAGAGCATGACGTGCAATAAACTGACCTTGCAATGACAGCACACAAAACCTGCAGCCATCATGCCACCTGATCTATTGCACAGCAAGGAAGAGAAAGAGAAAGAGGGAGAGAGAGAGAGAGAGAGAGAGAGAGAGAGAGAGAGAGAGAGAGAGAGACAGAGAGAGGGAGAGAGAGAGAGAGAGAGGATCAGCTGGACAGGCAGTTTTGTAGCAAACACAACCTGGTTGATGCCAGATTCTGCTGTAAAATCGCACAAACTTGGAATTCGTAATAATGGCAAATCAGTGCACACAGACGAAGAGTGTCAAGGCGAGAGTGTGACGTGACACTCGATTTGCGACAGTTGCGACAAGGAAATGCCTGTCACGAGCTGTCGTGTACAATCGCAGAAGTTGAAGAAGGTTCAACGTTTGCGACGCGCGACATACACAAATGGAGTACAGTTTCCACTACTGATATGGCAAAAACGTAACAAATTGTAAATCGTGTGTCGCGGTCGCAGCTCGTCGCAGGTGTCGCAAGTCGCATGTCGCAAAAAGTTGTATTGTGAATCGGGCTTCAGGCATTACCCTAGTCCATGGAAACTCACTTCTCAGTAAGCTGTTGGCCAAGCTGTTCATTATCAACAGCTGCCTGCTCAAGCATTTCTTGTGCCTTGTTCAGTAATTGATCCCTATAAGATATGAGAAAGAAACATCCAAAAATGGAGATCAGAAATGAAAGACAAGCTGAATAGGCACAATGATGCAGATGTACATGTAAGTTAGGAGTTCAGACATAACGCTGTTGCAGCGTCAAGTCTGTTGACAGTTGTTCAAATCGATTTAAGTTGCACTCTGCACTATTCAATGCAACCCTAGACATGGCCAATTCACAACTTAGGCAAATTGTCAAATACTGGGCGACATGGCTGTTGCAAGAGGACACTTACACACACACACACACACACACACACACACAAATGTACGAAAGGCTTTCCTTGTGCTTATCTGCAAAAGGTTGGTGGGGGGGGGAGAGGGGGGGGGGCACCACAAATTAAAAAAATCTGAACAGTGGCATCTGACCTTTCAACAATCCGACTTCTCAATTCGTGTAGCTCCTGCACATGACCATGATGCTCTGCCACTGCTACTGATGTGGGCTCTTCTGCCACTGCTACTGATGTGGGCTCTGCTCCCGGCACTGGTGTGTGCGTAGATTCCTGTGATGCTGGTAAGGAGTGTGCCAAAGCTATGCTGCTTGCTTGCTTCAATGGTACAGATGATTTCTACACACGAGAGCAAGTTACAATGTACTTGCTCAGCCATACAAAGCACAGGAGAAACAGGTCACAGCCATCTCTGAAGCGCCTAGCTCACTGCCATCAAACAGTGTGTATATGTAGCCACATGCACGCCACGCCGCACAGGGAAGTCTGGGCGGCAGTGGACAGGCAAGACGGACGGCAGTGTGCAGGCAAGTCTGGGCTGAAACTCAGCGCACAATTTTGGTCACGTACTCCTGTCTATAGAAAATGTGTGTTCGTATTTCCAGCAGACTTGGTTCAGCGTATGTACAATCAGACCTCGCTTATCCGGTCCTCTTTTATCCGGATCCCTCGCCATCCGGAAGAAAATTGCTCGTTACCAATTTACAGCATATGCCATGCATACATACAGTACATGTGTTCGATTATCTGGTTCCCTCACATATCCGGATATTTTCGTGGAAAACAGATGTGTGCGGTTAAGCGAGGTCTGACTGTATACCTGTTATACTGTCATGGACATGGAAATCCAGACGAATGACCGTGGCCGGCGCCCTCAGTGCGTACAGAACGTTGCATACAGTGCACGTGTGGACCCGATGCGACCAGCGCGCGCTGCAGCGCATAAATGAAGGTGTGTACCGCACGCGTACTCAAGGCTGCATGGCCAGCGCCTTGGGGCCGCTAGGCGTGCGACCGGATTTCCATGTCCACGACAGTAGCTGCTGCTATCGTTACCGGATATGAAAGCCTACATAAAGCAGTGTAAGTGGCAATGAGTGTCCTCACAGAGACACATAGCCCTGCTTGGGTGCTGTGTAGCACACCGTAGTACAGTACGGATCGGCTATAGCGTTGGTGTTTGATTTTCGTGAAAATATCACTATAAGCGATATATTACTACAGGCGGTATGCATACTTAGGTATGCCTAACACATGCGTGTATGGTGTCATTCGAATCAGTGCAGCGTGCAGAAGCGTGCTGTGCATGTGACTGTGCAGTACGCGGAGTGCAGAGCTATTTCCTGCGGAAACAAAAACTTCGTGACTTTTTGACATGAGTTTTCAAGGAGTTGCTGTGCTCAACAAAATCTACTGGATCGATTAGTGGGAGTAGAGTCTCAGTCTGGGTCGCCATCGCTCGACTCATCACCGCTGAAACCGTTCCAAGTGGCAGGTCGATTGACGCGTGATGTCGTATGTCACGGAGAAGCTTCTCCGCGTCCCTGATCGTCTTCGCTGTTACCTGAATGCCTTCTCCAACATCTCGGCGGAGACCGCGGTAGCGCTTCAGCGCTGGTACTCATTACTGCCTCCGCTCTCGCTCGAGGATGCCCCGGAACAACAAGCACAGCCAACACCAAACATTTCGAATTTCCTCCGAGGGATATCATAGTCGTACCAGCGCTTCCTGACTGCCGCGATCAGATCTCGCCATGTACGATGTATAATTTTTTATGATCATCACTATAGCCAATGAAAAATGTATGCAATAAAATCATTTTGACAAAGAAATCGACTGTCACCACCGTGTGAGTTACGAAGTCTGAAGAAAATGTTGAACGGTCTCTGCTAGGATGACGACTACACCATAGCTCAGTGGTTAGAGCATCGCTAGCTACAAGCGAGGGTCCCTGGTTTGAGTCCTGGTGGTGACAGTCAATTTTTTCTTCAGACTTTCCCATTTGTGTCTTTCCCTCAAACTAGTCAAGACAAAGAAATCGTATCATTATAGCCGATATATTACTATAGCCGAACCGATATGTACAGAAAGGGGTGGTTTACGAAAATGAATTTGAGAATACGATCACTATAAGAGGTATATTACTATAGCCGACAACCCTATCGCCGATCCGCACTGTACCTTGGTGGCAGCCAGCTGCTGCAAGTCACGGACTTCATGTTCCAGAACGTCAACCTGGGAGGACTTCTTAGACAACTCTGTTGACAAGGACCCACAGGAGCTGGCAGTCTACAGGGACAAGCACACACGGTGAGTGTGAGTGAGAAGAGAAGGCAATGAAACAAAAGAGACAACCATAACACCAATGATACTGCAAGGCATGAACAACTGAAAGACACACACACATCTTCTTCTTCTTCCACCACCAAATCAACCAGCTGTCAAAGTACAGCACTGGTTACATTATTATTCTACATTGGTTACATCATTATTATTTTTACATTGGTTACATCATTATTTTACATTGGTTACATCATTATTTTAATGACAATATGCATACATATATGTACATATGCACATACAATGTACAGACCTCTTTCAGGTTTTCATCACCATGGCGATTTACCCACGCGAAAGTCGTTTGGTAGGCAAAAGAATTGCACGTGATGCATATTTCTTTCTTCTCCGAGAGCTTCGTTATTTTAATTTATACCATAGATGCAGACAAGTCGTGTAAAATTAATAAATTGTTCTAATAGGCAAAGTCTCGTATTAAAGTGGGCTGAAATTCAAACGATTTCCAGCTGATTGTGACCGTCGAGCAAAATGGGTAAATGGCAAATACCAAAATTTTAATGCACTTCGTCGAGTGAATGCGGATGGCTTGCCTTGGCAGCCAGTTGATCACCGTGTTTGCTCAGCCCACTTTGTAACTGGAGACCAAGTCAACCAACCTCTCCATGTGGATTACGTTCCGACCATAAATTTTGGATACGACTCCTCGGCCGTAGTAGAAGTGGAGCCCTTGACACAAACAGAAGATCGTCATGCAAGGTATGAAGCAAGGCAGGCAAATCGAGCAGAACCAAACGTTGTTCCAGAGGAAACAGCTGCCGCTGAGCTACATGACACGGACGATCCACCTGCCTTGCTGCCTGAAACACCTCAACCAGGACCTGTATCTTCAAGTGTGGCATGCCAAAAGGACCCCACTAATTTGGAAGAAATGGCACTGTGCATCCAAATGCTGGAGAAGAAGTTGTTCAAGCAAATCAGAGACAATGATTGACTTACACGCTTCTACACGGGATTCCCATCATATGTAGCGTTCAATGCCTTTGTTCTGTATATCCGGAAAAAGACGCGTTTGGTTGCATGAAATGCTAAGCAGACTGGTGACACCACAACACCTCATCGTGGACCAAGGGCATGGCAGACCATTCCAGTCCATGACCAGCTCCTTGCTGTTTTGGCTCGGCTGCGCATTGCTGCTCCTGCCCTTGACAATTGTGTACGGATGGGCGTTGCAGAGGCCATGTACAGCAGATTCTTTGCCACGTGGATTCCTTTCATTGCCGCAGAGTTGAAACTACTGTTTCCTTTCCCATCACGGCAGCAGGTGAATGACTGGATGCCGAGGTCCTTCAGGAAGCACTATCACACCCGGATTATCATTGATTGCTACGAGATTCATAGTCAGCGGCCGTTTGGTTGAACCAGTCCGTCACCTTTACCGACTACAAAAGCAGAAACACTTTCAAAGTGCTTATCGGATGTACACCTGCTAGGTATGTGAGCTTTTTGTCTGATGTGTTGCTGACAATGACATTACGTTGCGGTCTGGGCTTCCGGATGTATTGGACAAGGGTGACATGGTTATGGCTGATCGTGGATTTGATATCCAGAAAGCAATTGCCAGCAGAGGTATCACTGTCAATGTCCCACCAAAGCTCGGATCCAGAAAGAAAATGTCAGCTGGTGAGGTGGAGAAGACGCGTAGAATTGCAGAGCTACGGATGCACGTAGAAAGGTGCATCAGAAGAGGCCGTCGGTTGAAGGTTCTGAATCGTGTGTTTCCTCTCAGCATGTACGATTTGGTGTCGGATATGAATGGTGTATGCATGTATTCGACCAACTTTGATATTCCTCAAGTAGAGAATTGATCTCCTAATGTGTGTACATCATCACAAGGATTACCGGACTATGCTACTGTACTACTATGCGTTTTTCTCTCTATTTTATTTGAATTTACTGATAACGAACTAGGCAGGCACAGTGGGATAGTCTGACCATGACGAAACAGAGGGTACCATGTTCAAGTCCTGCTTGGAAGCGGAAGGATTTTTCCTGCCATGCTGCGACCCACAATTAATTGGGAACTCGTGGCCAGGTGCGAGAGAAGCACGAATGCAGCGAATGGGATTTTCGGTCTTTGACCACTTTGTGGTGGGTCTGATCTACTCACCTCCCACCACTTAGGAGCTGCATCTGCGCCTTGATCCATGGAGGGCGGTGGCGATCATACAGATGCGGAAAACTCGGCCTCCAGCCGAGTCTCACGCGAACCGAGATTTATTTAGTTTAATTTTTTTATTAATTTTTACTAGGGGTGAAACGAGTATCTATTTTGACCAATCGATCATTCATTCATAATATTCGATCGAGTATCCGATTATTTCGAGTATTTTATCAAAATTCAAAAGCGCTAGATTTGTGAGTTCTCGACCAATTCGGAAGAAATTATCTGTGAACATAGAACAAAAGCCGCCAACGTCTTGTACAGAGTGTAAAGTAACGATTTTCACCAGTACTTTCATTATCTCATAACAAACTAACGTTACTTGCCGTGGTGATCGCATCGTCCAAGTCATAAAATACTGACTCAAAGGCATGCATAACGCATGCATACCAGTCGATGAGCGGTACAACAGAAGTGTTTGAAAAAATAGAATGCCAATACAAAAAAATACAAAAAAACCATTGAGTGCAAAATTTCGAATACTCGCTCGTTTGAAATTTTCGAACGAATACTCGAATATTCGAACTAATCGTTTCACCCCTAATTTTTACTGATAAGAATGGACTGCGGATGGAGAGCCAAGGATTAATTTATAGAAAAGAAAAAGTACCAAAGAACTACACGTTATGCTATAATGTCCACTAACACCACCAGTTACTAAACAATCAGCATCTTTGAGCCCCACAAGGCGTGTGGAATGTTGCTTTGCGTCCTTGAATCGTGGTTTGACCGTATTGTCCAATGGCCTTGCCAGTATCGTCATCGACATGCCTGAACATCCGCCAACGTCCTTCACAGCTGAGACTTTCAGCTCGTGCTTATCTTGGTTACGCTCACCTTCCTCTCCTTATGTTATTTCTAGGGCTGAAACGATTATACCGAATAATCGAGTACTCGTTTGATAACTCTAACGATCGAGCAATCGTTTAGATTACCGACTACGATTATTTTGCGCTTTTAAATTTGTGTCCAGAAAGTACTGTAAACCCTCGTTTTGTGAAGTTTGAATCAGTTTCCGCTGGGAGTATGCAGTTGCCAGGGGTATGGTTCGTGTTCTGAGGTTAAATTGACTTCAAAACTGCCATGTTTCGGAGCTACCCTTTCACTAATGCAGATCTGTTGGTATTATGAAGGCATAGTTTGTGGAAACAGAGTAATGTTTGCGCAGAATTATAACACTATTTGCTAACGATTATAATCGATTGCTCGATCGTTAAGCTTAAGTCAAAAGTAATCGATACTTAGCAACGCGAAAGTTCGAACTTTCGATGGCGGTGATATTTCGCGAAAATTATTTCGAAAAAGGAAACATGGTGATGTTTAGCAACGCGAAAGGACGTTTTCTCGAAATTATTTGTACCGCACCGTATATGCAGCTCAGTGTCAAGCAGGTGCTGTAAATTTACAACTCCCTGCTGTCAAGTGTGTACTGAGGAAAGAGCAAATAACTTTTGCAAATCACTGCAACTTCACGTCTAAGTTTTCGAAGTTTCGAGCTTTGTTTCTGTACTCATTCCCAGACTCGAATTTTCTTTCGAACTTTCGCGTTGCTAAACGTCCCTATTCTAAGCACAGCATTTCTAGGATTTCTAGCAACATGTTCCTTCAATCCAGTCCGAAACGAGAGAGCTTGGAAGCTCAGGGCCCTGCGCTATGCTTTGTTGCCTAGCTCATCGCGCATGTTGTTAGAACTGATGGAAATGCTTTTTCCTTTGATTAGCTACATCATTGTATTGCAAAAACGTTTCAATGAGATACTGAAGTACAAGTAACGTCTTCTGCATAGCTATGGGACCGGCGCTGACTCTGCCGATCACGGACGTTCTGGAGTCGACGGGATGTCTGTCCTGACGTTTTCTGGGACCGGCGCTGACTCTGCCGATCACGGGCGTTCTTCTTCTTCTTCTTATTATTATTATACTGACGGCAACTAACATCCATTCTGATCGCATTTACTCGTCTCCCTACTTCGTATTTCTTTCCAGAAAATCTCCCCATACAGCAGGGAGTCGTTTACATAATATGACTCCCTGCTATACATCTACATGACTGTAGGGAGTCGTAAAATACCGGGAGGCGACACGCCACACATTTCACGATCCGAGGATTGCCGCACTCGACCCGCGAAATTTGAAGCGTGATTGAAACGTCGTCGTCATCTTCTTTTTCTCAATTGTTTTTGCTATATGCTTCGAGGCTATTCTGGATCTCCAGAGCGAAAGCTGGTTGTTTCTAATACGTACCACGCATTACCTTAGGTTGAGCCGTGGCTTTTAATTTTTTTTTGGAAGTTCACTGCTTTGGAGACGACGGAATGTCAAGGTAAGTTATTCACGAAATGTACTCAAATTTGAATTGAGTCAATGCGAATGACACCCTGTTTTCGGAATAGTTCTCCACTAAACACACCATGCCCATGGCCCCTTCATGTTGTCCAAGTTCCATTCTAGGTTTGTGTGAAGTTTCGAGATGAAGTTCGACGATGTACTCACCTTTCCATGGAAGGGAAAAAAAAGTAGCATATCAAACAGAATCCATGCAGTATTTGATGCCACTATCCTCATTCTTCTGCATTCAAAGTGTTTCACATCTATATGGCCCATGAACTGCAAACAATATTTGTCATTTCTTAACTGTTCATAGCTGTTCATAACTGTTCTGAACACATTGCCTTCAGGAAATGTAAGGCCGAGTCGCCTCACCGACTGAGCAAAGTTCTCTGCGACGAAAGTCACACTATCGGCGAATGCACTCAAGGTGAATACCCGTCAATATCCTGTATACTGCTTGTACCGCTTATCACAGTAGCATACACACAAGCACACATACACATACACACACACACACACACACACACACACACACACACACACATGCATGCTCGTGCACACACAAGCGCAAAATTCACATATCACTGGTTCAGTTGTTTTTATCTGTGTGGTATTTTGTCTTATACAGAGCTTCCGAGCCACGCCGAGTCACCTGACCAACTGAAGAAGGTTCTGTGCGACGAAAGTCACACTATCGGCGAATGCACTCAAGGTGAATACCCTGTGGACTGCTTATACCACTTATCACAGAAGCACACACACACACACACACACACACACACACACACACACACACACACACACACACACACACACACACACACACACACACACACACAAGCGCAAAATTCACATATCACTGGTTCAGTTGTTTTTATCTGTGACGTATGGTGTCTTATACAGAGCTTCCGAGCCACGCCGGGCCACCTGAATTCTCCAAACAAGGCTGAAGGCTTGTCACGGCATCCTTGCCAAATAAAGGTATAAGCTGCAGCAAGTTGTCGTTGCGACACCTTGCTCCTTCCAGCTCACGCCGCACGGCCACCAAGCACCAACCACCATGGTACTTTTCAGCAAGGTGAGACAAATTGTCAATCACCGGTTCGGGGATGGCTTCAGCAGCTTTGGATGGTGCTATTGACGCTTTCCTGATAGCAGCGGCAGCCGTGGCATGCAGGTAGCTTATCAGATTCGCTAGCACTGCAGATGTAACTTCCAAATCTGAAGAAGAGAAAAGAAAAAGACAACATATAAGGACTGGTGGTTGCAGAGACTGTACTAGTATTCAAAAGCCAGCGTTTGCATACCTAGTCTGCATACCTAGTCAGAAGCCAATTTTTTTCCAACATGCATGCAAAACGCACTGACCTTCACAATTGATTTTCACTTCGGGAATAGCTGTTGCGATGACGGACAGCATTTGTTGCCATGCTTGCGAAATATCAGCACCCTTGCATGCCTTCAGCTGGCACACTTCCTGGCGTAGCAGATTTGCAGTACCTGATGCCTTGTGTAACCGTGTCATAATAACATGCAGGAATGACTCCGTCGCCTCAGTAACACTCGCCTGTCTCATTGTCAGCAGTTTGCAAATTCCATGGATCACTGCACCTTCCATAGGCCTGTACACCATGATGGCACTACCACTCTTACATCGATCTGCACATAGACAAAGTATGGTTTGAGGATGGAGGTTTACATCATCTACGGTGATGATACATACTAGGTACACAAGTAAATTTTCAGGACTTCAATAAATATCCTGTCACAGTGAACAGACAATGCATCGTGGGCAGACTAGGATGAAAAGGATGGTGTCGACCACCTAATTTATCGGGTCAGTTCGGGCACTTAGGTATGCTACAGATTATACATTCGTGTCCACAAGGAAGAGACAAAAACATGCAAACGAAAGAATCTCACCTGTAGCCCACAGCTGAACATCCCCACAACTCAGGTCACCAAGTGAATACGTGGCGTCATCTACATCTTCCACGGTGGACTCATCACTTTGGCAGTCATCTCTGTCAAGCTCCATCATCCTTTACTTCGAAGGCCAAGGCACAAAGTATTATTACTTAGAAAAACAAAACGAACTGCTGACACTGGA